GTCGGCGCAGTATGTCATTCTCTTCCACTGCTCTCTATCGGTCGTCATATCTGAACATACTCTTCTTTTATTCATGTCATCTTTCACACAATCCATCCATCTTTTCTTAGGGCGTAATATGAATGTGGATGGATGTAAACGGCCCCTCCGTTTACATCCATCCACATTCATATTATACACTTTCCATAAGCGCAACTCGCAACTCGCAACTTTTCTATAACCGGCGCAACTTTCAAACTTCCTCGTATATACACATTCTTAATTCTGTCATTCCTGGTGACCCCACACATCCATCTCAACATTCGCATTTCTGCCACATGCACACGCCTTTCGTCCATCCTCTTTGCGGCCCAACATTCAGATCCATACAAAATGACAGGTCTTATAGATTTATAAACTTTACCCTTTAGTTTCAAGGGCGTTCGGGGGTCGCATATCGTTTCCAAGACCTTACGAATCATTACGTAAATAAAAAGTAAAATATACTTAGATGGCCAAGGAGGTTTTATATTCATACTTAATCAGCGGGTGTGTAATCTGTATGTATGTAGGTACCTACATATGTAACATGATCTGCTTGTTGTGCTCGCTGCTTCAATATATGTACCTATAGTAAATATGTTGTGGCTATAATATAATATAATGACAAACTGGTTGTTTACACGTGGCTCTTGCTTGACACAACAAAAACAAAGTACAACAGAACGGAAACCAATCGGTTTAGTATAAAGTTTTTGTATTGCCGGAACTAACACGACGACTAGGTACGAAATAAATCGTTAACTGATCACCGGTCGCTGTACAGGCCCCTGGTAGCAACAAGCCGGCCGACATCGCGACACCACACCTGTGTGGCGGAAGGTAGTTTAAAATGAGACACGTTCCTGGGTGAGGTAAAATATGTATATATTCAGCTGGCTAGTAAAAATGAAAAAACAAGGAATATGGCATTAGAAAAACAAACGGTATATAAAAACAAAACGTCAAAATGTACAATTCAAAAATATACAAAAAACTAACAAAAAGGTTGCCTTCAGCAACATCACCACTCACACAGGTGGTATTGTGAATAATGATGGAACGATGATCCTGGCTGCATTTAAGAGGTACATTAGCGAGGCATCAGATGACTATAAAATCTGATTAGATCGTATCGTTCATCGGAGGCTGCGCCTACTTTATATCGTTATTTTCCGAACCCGGTAGTGATCTACTATTTACATTTTATAAATAGATGCTGTAAGTTTTTTCATACTTCATTAATTCAGAAATAATATTTTTATTAAAGTAAAATAATTTCAGTGAACTATTTTCACTGTTAAATAATCGTACTTACATATAAAATTAACTATCGGTAGATAAATGCAATATTTTCAATATACATAAAATAAACTAACAGAAACTTGCATGGTTGCACTTGAATATATTTTTCCTTATTGGGAGTCTGCTTCGTGGGCTCATGTACAATAATGCACTGTAGAAATTCTAGTTCCCAGAGCACACGTCTTACTGAAGGTTTCATCTATCGCGTGCTCTAGGATGACGGCGATCAAATCTGGCAAGCCGTATGCTTGGTGAGAAAATATTAACATATATATAGTAATAAACCAACATGCAGATCTGTCTCCCAATCAAGTAAATCATATTCATATTGAAAGGAGTGGGCGCGCAAACCTTTTTCCTTGTTCATAAAGATATAAAATCGATACTTTAAAATAAACTTTATGGTAACAGAAGTAGAGTTAAAAATTACTTTTAAAATGTTTTAAGGAAAATCTCAACATTTAATATTATATAAATATAATGGAATTTCACAAGTCAGGATTGATTATGTATCATAATAAAACGTGATTATTAACATCTCGCGCTGTGTTCAGTGTTCAGTGCATGCGGAAACCACAACATTACACCACACGAACACAAAGAGAAATTATGCGCAATACAGGAACCCAACAGACATATAGAAAGATCAAAAGAAAATAATCAATCCAGTAATAATCTTGATCACTCGATTACATTCGAAAAAAACTACAACGTTTCACAAACAAAGAAATACAAATAGTCTTTCTTCAAATAAGCGTAGTATCAGCACAGAATAGTCATATTTTTTTTATTCTAAACGCATTCGGAACGGTGATGTTTAAGATTTTGTTTGAATACAAACTAACAAATAGCAAAATTGACAAATATTTAATCTACTAAGGTATTATGTTACGAAAGTCCAGTGTTGTTTAATTCCGGTACAATTGCGTGACTTGGCCGCCAGCTTCTAGAGCTCACTGTATCGGAATTAAACAAAATAATATGAATTCATCCAGTAGTGAAAAAACAAATGTAAATAAATGTATACTCCAGTAATAAAACAAGTGAGTGATGTCACGGTACTGCGGTACCACGATGTTATGTTATTTACGGAGTTTTTCCAGGGCGATAACTGACAGCTAGAAACAGGTAAAATGTATGTGTAGCACGATAATATTACGTGTAGGCCTATTTGCAAATTCCCCTAATGCAAGTACATGTACGTACATGCCATAAATTTCCCGTTAACAACTAGAATCAGTGCGTCAGAGACACGACGGCGCGGCGCGGGGCGGCGGCGGCCGGTCGGTATCGGTACAGATGCGGGCCCTAGAGTTTCCTTATTTATATATTATATGCAACAATCTGTTACATTGGGAGTAAGACTCACTTGTACACAAACCGAAAACATCACATTCACATAATAATCCATATCTCTATCCTACAAAATAACGCATCGCTACACACTGTATAACGGGATACTGACCGTAACAATACATTGCATCCACCGCCACCTCTCGCATAAACCATCCTGGAAACAATTATGTATTTCTGTACTCCAGGTTTATCAAAATAATTGTAACATATGTTCAAATATCTTTACTAACTTTTACTTATATAAATTTAGTAGGGTTATTTGAATTTTATATTTAATTTCGTTAGCACTATATAAAGAATTTAGCTTAATTATAGTGGTAACAGACATACAGAGTACCATGCACATGGTGTCACTCGCAGGTACTGTGATATAAGTTAGGTTGGCCCTGATTATATTTCACGTCGCCAAACTGATGGCGGAACATCCACACTGCGATGATCAATGTTTATACAACGCGAGGCGGCACACAAGCAAGAGCTCCCACACCTGCACACAATTAAAAACTATCTCGTCGTAAATATATACATCTATACATATAAATAAAATTGGAGTGTCTGTTTGTAATATTGAAATAATCGTTTTTTACTACATGCGTGTGCATAAATGCGGTACATACACCAAAATGACATTTTTTACAATTTTTGTCTGTCTGTCATTTCGTTCCGGCTAATCTCTGAAAAGGCTGGACCGATTTTGACGGGACTTTTATTGGCAGGTAGCTGATGTAATAAAGAGTAACTTAGGCTACTGTTATTTTAGAAAATACCTGTAATTAAAGTTTTTGTTAAATTGCACGCGGACAAAGTCACGGGTGGAGGTAGTCTTCACTAAATACATTGAACAATTCTATTGACCTCGTCTGTGCAGACATAATCAATGTGCAAATGAGTGTATTGTATGTGAGTGCATTGAGTGCAGTTCACACGGGTGACATTGGGCGGGAGCATTGTGTGGTTGGGGTCTCACTGGCCGGGCCGGCGCGGCGGCGCGGCGGGGGACGGCGGCCCCGCACAAGGATGAGCAGCTCTACGAGCCTCTGGTGCCCACTCACTGCTCTTGACCTCTGCCTTTGTATCCGGAAACAGTCCTCAACAAGCACTGTTAACGACGTCCTATGACACAATATGTAAACATACACACTCACAACTGTATTCACGGCTGGCAAAGTTGTTAGACCTAGGTCTAGTTACCTCATGTTTGAGTAGATATATCTTATATATAAAAATCTCGTGTCACAATGTTAGTTACCATACTCCTCTGAAACGACTTAACCGATTTTTATGGAATTTTATCTGCATATACAGTAGGTCTGAGAATCGGCTACTATCTATTTTTCATACCCCTAAGTGATAAGGGTTGTCCACCGCTATTTTTTTATTTTTTGGGCGAATTTTTTTATTTAAAATATTTTTATTATGCGTCATTAAAAAATAAATACAACCCTAAATGTTCACCCTTCAATCACCAACCCCTAAATTTAATAAACCAACAAAATATGGCATGTACTGGTGAATAACTGAGGCGCGTGTCCAGTAGAGCACGGCGGACGGTGCTCCACCACAGTATCGAGTGGCGGACAGTCGGTGGCTGGCTCACTAATATAATTTAATAACTTAATGACTGCATTAGCTGCGTGGATCGATACAGTCGTCACATTCTGGGAACGCTCGTATTTTTATACTTATACTAGCTTTTGGTCGCGGCTTCGCTCGCGTTAATTTATCCCCTTAGTTGCCCTGGGTTGCCTACGTCATAGTAGCTTTATGCATTTTGCATGTCTCAGCCCGATTGGTTTAAAATTGACAAAGTTTCATACAAACTTTCATCCCCTATTTTATCCCCTTGGGGGTAGAATTAATCAAACTCCTTTCTTAGCGGATGCCTACGTCATAACATCTACCTGCATGCCAAATTTCAGCCCGATCTTATAGTGGTTTGGGCTGTGCGTTGATAGATCACTACGTCAGTCACCTTTGAGTTATATATATTTAGATAGATTAGGTTTACAACAAATATTGGTATTATAATGATTGACTTTGAACATGAATGTTTTAATTTTGGTGAAGTTTTGTAATATACATTTATTATTTATAGTAAAGGAGACATTTTGACATTTGAATTACAATATTGTAGGTCCTAATACAATAATTTCAATTCGATACAAATTAGATAGCTATAGTTAATGCTAGGGGATCGTACCTCAGGCCGTCGTGATTTCGATCCTCGTTTGAATTGGACGGTGTTAAATTCCACGCGCACGAAGTCGAGGGTGCAGTTAGTATAACTATATATATATGTGTATGTTTGTGTGTGTGTACAGTGGCGATATGCAACAATTGGCGAGCGTGTGGCGACGGTGGCCGGCGTGGCGCTGGGCTGGTGCTCGTCGGTGGGGCTGATCGCCGCCATCGTGATCTACGGCGAGCTGACCTCGCTGTTCGTGCAGCGCCACAACGCCAACGCCACCACGCCCCACGCACACATACTACGCGTGTTCGGCGGCGGGACGCTGCTGTAAGTCATCTCATCTCATACATCCATACATATACATAAATAAAATTGGAGTGTCCGTTTGTAATATTGAAATAACCGTTTTTTACTACGTGCATGTGAATATAAATACTGTACATACACCAAAATAACATTTTTTACAACTTTCGTCTGTCTGTTTGTTCCGGCTAATCTCTGAAATGGCTGGACCGATTCTGACGGGACTTTTTTGGCAGGTAGCTGATGTAATCAGGAATAACTTAGGCTAGTTTTAGTGTAGAAAAATAAAGTTAAATTCCACGCGGAGGAAGTCGTGTGTACAGCTAGTATTTCATAAAAATACAAAATGTGACCTCACACTATGAAGGGGATGTCTCACAAATGTGACGAGCCGTGACAAGAACGGGGGTGAGAGTGGGGGGTGGGGTGAACTAATCATGAGACTCGTATAATATCACTTATGGCCTGTAATGAAACTTGAACATTGGCCGCCCTCAACAACAAAAAAGAGCAACACACAAGTTTCTTATGATGAATCTGCATTACGAATGAGTGGTAGCATCAATATATGACTATTCAAAAGTGCTTGTAATGAGTTTATTTGAAAAACATTATTTCTATTTCTATGCGTATTGTCCGCCCGCAGGCCGCAGGGCAACCGCTCGCTGCACATGGACGCGCTGGTGGGGGACTCGCAGGCCTTCGGGTTGGCGAGCGTGGCCATCATACTCGTGCAGTTCCTGAGCGCGGCCGCCGCAGTCACCGTCGCCAACTGGGCCGCCTCCAGGATGGTAGTACACTTATTTTCACCACGGTGGTTTAGCGGTATAAGACACCGCTTTTCATCCGATGGTCGCGGGTTCGATTCCTCGCACGGTACAAACATTTGTATTTATGAGTATGATTGTTTGTATCGGTCTGGGTGTTTTCTTTGTATATTATGTATGTATTTACAAAATATATATATATATATATATATATATATATATATATATATATATCTCTCTTTGTATTTATATCAGTTGTCTAGTACCCATAACACAAGCTCTGCTTGCCGTGGGACTAGATTGCGTTGTGTTAATTGTCCAGAGTTATTTATTATTATTATTACTTACTTAAAACAACTACCACTATATACCCAAACATCCTCTATAATGATACATCTTCTTCTTCTAATATATAAAATTCTCGTGTTCCAAACGGCTTGACCGATTTTGATGAAATTTTGTATGTATATTCAGTTGTTCTGAGAATAGGTTTATAACTAATGTTTATACCCCTAAGTATTAAGGGTGGCTCATCACAAATTTTTTTTTTAATTTTTCGAATTTATTTTAATATTTATTATGTGGCATTAAAAAATACATACAACCTTAAATGTTCAGCCTTCTATCACCAACCCCTATTTTTTTATAGCGTTATTAATTTATATGGCATAACAACGTTTGGCTGTCCTAGTATGTACTAGATATACACAATATTATGCGATGTTCATATGTTGTGTTGGGTGGGCAGGTGTCTCGGGTCCGGTTGCGGCTGCTGCGGTCCATCCTCAGTCAGGAGATAGCGTACTTCGACACCAACACCACCATGAACTTCGCGTCCACACTCACTGAGTAAGTACACCATTGTGACATACATACACACAAACAATAAATATATTGTATATGTATATTGAGTATACACATATTTAATATATAAAAATATATAAACATAATAGAATAAGTAAAAATAGAAAGCATCAATAGAAAATAAATATAATATATATAAAAAAACAACAACCCTGTAATATTATACTCAGTTATTTTGTAGTTAGGTTCAAGTGGTTATTTACGCACTTGAGTGTTTTTCTCCCAAAAGGCAAAGGGTTCAGCCTACACCTGGGTCTCGGGAATTGCTCGGAGTTTCCCTCTCTGCCACACCATGGACTCGACACCCGCACGGTAAATCCATGCAATGCTAAGAAGTTCGTCTCTCTATACTATATACTAGCTGTACCAGCGACTTCGTCCGCGTAAAATTTAACTTTACTTCTCTAAAATAAAAGTAGCCTAAGTCCTTATAACATCAGATAACTACCAATAAAAGTCCCGTCAAAATCGGTCCAGCCATTTCAAAGATTACCCGGAACAAATTTCTTACATTATAGGTATAATGTAAGAAATAAGTGTGTAAAAAACCAATTTGTAAAAAGCCTGAATATTAATATCCGGAGAAAGTGTATTAATAAAAAAAAAACAGTCACACACTACACGCACTACACCACACGCCAGCACCAGACGACCTGTTTTTTCAGATGTGATCATTTCTAACTCTTTACAGACTATTTCGTTTTGAAGGAATCCAATCGTAAAATTACGAAACTTTACGATTGGATTGAGTCTCATGGACGTACCTCTGTCTTAAATAACATTGACTTTAAAATGTGAGCCGGGGACATGATGTAAAATATACAGCAATGCAAAACTTGTCACCAGGGACACAGAGAAGCTGCGCGCCGGCGTGGGCGAGCACGTGGTGATGACGGCGTACCACGGCGGGGCGGTGGTGCTGGGCACCGCGCTCTCCTTCACCTACGGCTGGCAGCTCACGCTCGCCGGCATCTCAGTGGTGCCGGCCGCCATACTCATCTCCAGCATCGTCGCCAAGGTAACCGACCATCACCCCGACCAAGAGTCACGTGCATGGTTGTCTTTCACCTATTAAAGGCCCTGGGCACATTAGGATAATGGGGGCTCTATGACCATAGTAATAAAGCACTATTTTGTTAGAACAGACAAAGTAATTTCTGAACATGACTCTTTAGATATGTATATGGGGATGGCCTACCTTCAAAACAAACCAGGCAAAGATAATATTAAAATGTTGTTATGTGATGAGGGGTTTTTTTTTTTTGAGGGATGATAATGGAATGGTGCACCCGCCTGCGCTAACGGTTTACACTGGCGGGGCACCAGTGGAGGATGATAAGATGAGCATGAGGTCAGGTCAGTTAGCCCATCGTGCAAATTCATCAGGAATTTAACACGATGGTTTCCAGGGGGAACCGGATGAGGGGTTCAAGTTAGACAAAATTGACCGTAGCATTTGTTAAAATTGATTTTTAGGCGAGAGCTGTTGATTATCATTTGGTAATGTAGGGACTAGACTAGACTAGGGGGCCCCAATCTAATGCGGGGCTCTGGACACGCGTTCAGTGTGCCCAGTGGGGAAGAGGGGCCTGATCGCATACGTTTTTCCATAACGAGTTTTTTTTTAAGAGGAATGTAATGGAATGGTGCACCCGCCTGCACTAACGGTCCACGGCGCACCAGTGGAATATGATAAGATGAGTATGAGGTCAGATCAGTTAGCATATCGTGACAAATTCACAGGGAATTTATCACGATGATTTCCAGGGGGAACCGCGTGGAGGTCAACCTGACGTGGTACATTGCTAGCTATGGGATCTTTAGTCCACATTACTAACAATCCCCTTCCCCCCTCCATAACAAGTCAAATGAGTCGAGTCCAATGCGAGTCTTATGAGCGGATAAGAGGAAAATTATTCAATAGACCTTTCCAGACGACTTGGTACGAGTTAGACTCGTCTTTCCTCTTTACTATTAGTATTGGAAATTAGAAGCAGTTATAACTCCTGCCGTATTAAACCATCACTTGCTGCTTGTACATACAAATGCATGTTAGGGGGGGGGGATAGTTAGTAATGTGGACTAAAGGTCCCATCGCTAGCAATGTACCATGGCAGGTTGACATCCTGACCTGACCTGACTTGAGTTTATCCTATCATCCTCCACTGGTGTCCCGCCAGCGTAAACCGTTAGCGCAGGCGGATGCATTGTAGGATCTATTCAAAATTTATTGCCACTTATTTTCCGTGAACCCGTCGTTAGATAAACTACTTCAAAAGCCTCAGGCGTGTAGTTTATAAGAGATGTAAATTGTCAACAGTATCAAACTCGGTGTACAAGTAAAGAGGTGCTGGCGTACGGCACCGCTGGCCGCATCGTGGAGGAAGTACTCTCCGCCATACGGACGGTGAGGGCCTACGCCGGGGAGGAACTAGAGGTGCACAGGTAATACAGTTATAAAAACTCTACAGACGACAAAGTACAATACTAACCCAATACTGAAACAAACTTTGGTGTAATTACGGTATTTAATAACTGCGAACTATACAACTGACTGTAGCAAAAAAAATCAACGTTATATGTGATTATATGTTGGACTGTAACGTGACAGTCATATGGAAGTGTCATTGTATGATCCAAATGTGATGTGATGTTTATATTATAGACAACTAGCTACTCGGCCCGGCTTCACACGGGTGTACATGTATTATATATATATATATATAAACCTTCCTCTAGAATCACTCTATCCATTTAACAATAGAGCTTCAAAATCCGTTGCGTAGTTTTAAAGATTTAAGCATAGAGACGGACAGACAGCGACCGCGACTTTGTTTTATACTATGTAATGATATGTAGTCAGAATTAAGAGTAGATGACAAGGCTGTCGTTTTACATAAAAGAAGGGACTTCTGTTTACATAATCCGTTACATCCGGACATGTGCCAACTTAGAAAAAAACACATTTTCAATTTGAATGCTATTATGGAAGAGACGTGGTCGTCACAATGAAGAAACTACCTTACTGGAGGAGAAGGGGATTGTTAGTAATGTGGTAACCTCCACCCGTTCTCACTGGAAACCATCGTGATTATTTCCTAGTTATTTAATCACGAAGGTCAAACAGACGTGATCCTGCTCATCTTATCATCCTCCACTGGTGCCCCGCCAGCGTATACCGTTAGCGCAGGCGGGTGCACCATTCCATTATCATCCATGAAAAAAACTGCCTTACTTCCTACCCTACCCTGATGCTGTATATCTGTATGATAGTTCTTTTACGAAGAAGATACCGAGTTTTATTGACCTCTTACCCTCTCGCACATAACTCTCTCTCTTTGTACATACTTTCATATATTTTATTAACACTTTTGTCACCACACCTATATAAATACCTATGCATTGTAAATAAACTGGCTTTAAAAAAAAACTAAATCAATTGCTCTTTGCTCTTGGCTCTTGCCAGTTCTTCTCAATTGGATCTATTTACTGAACTGGATGGTGGGGAAAAAAATACTATGACACTCATAAGCGGCTAAAATGACCTACATGAATAAATGATTTTTGAATTTGGGATGTTGACTAGTTGTCATATAAAGCAGTAGGAGCAATAAGAGGGCATGTGTGGTTGCAGGTACCAGTCAGCGCTGGGCCCCGCCAACGAGCAGGCGCGGGTGCGCGGGGTGTGGGCGGGCGCGGGCGCGGGGCTGGGCTGGCTGCTCACGTACTCGCTCAACTCCATCGTGCTGGCGTATGGCGCCGCGCTGTGCGTGCGAGACATGGACCTCCCGCCAGAAGAGCAGCAGTACCACTCCGGGATCATGCTCACTGTTCGTACCCACTTTGACCTCTTACCACTGTCACAACTCGTATTACCAATTGGAAGGTTAGATTTCCATTTGGAGTTGGAGGTCTTAACATTGGCAGGCATTGGATGCGAGCAGCGCAGGACCGATCGTCGTGGAGATCTTTGGGGGAGGCCTTCGTTCAGCAGTGGACGTCGTCCAGCTTGAGATGATGATGATGAACTGTAACACTAGCAAAGTTCTTGTTGCCTATCCAAATATTCAAAGAACAATTTTAATATGTTCTGGTAACGTTGTTAGTAGAATAAGATTACCATTTTATCCCTGGTTCTAGGGTGATCCATTCAGCATACACATGATGATTTAGTATTTATTGATTTATGATCTCGTCTTTTTAAGTCTAGTTCATCATGATCTGTTTCAGATATTGTTCTGCACGTTCATGGCCTCCCAAAGTATCGTGATGTGTCAGCCGCACCTGGAGATCTTCTCGGCGGCGCGGGGCGCTGCCAAGTCCCTCTTCCGTCTCGTCGAGAGGAAGTCCAACATCAACGCGATGGAAGATGTCGGCTTCAAGCCGGACAAGTTCAGCGGGAACATTGTCTTCGATAACTTGTACTTCAATTATCCCTCGAGACTAGATGTCAAGGTATATACTATTTACTTTTTATTTTAGTTACGAATTGGGTTTTGTGTTAATAAAGTATCACACAATAGAGATCAAACAATCTATTCTGTCCATAGCACTGTTCGTATCTTGGAAATTTCGTGTTTACTATCTAAATGTGCACGCAGGTGTTGCGTGGGCTGACACTGTCAGTTAAGGCCGGAGAGACGGTGGCGCTGGTGGGAGGGTCCGGGTGCGGCAAGTCCACCCTGCTGCAGCTCCTGCAGCGGATGTACGAGCCCGACAGCGGCACCATCACCGTCGACGGACACAAGCTCACAGACTTGAACCTTCACCACTTCAGAACTAGTATTGGTAAGTTTTGGCATACACACATTTTGTATATTTTAAATACATGAGAAAACTTTCTGCTTCATAGAAAACCTCGGAAATGCGTGCCATAATGTGCCATTCATTCTATGCGTATACCTACCTACCTACTTCTTTACTCATTTAATCATCTCTGTCAGAGCTCTCTTTAATGTGTTTGCTTTTTACACTACCGTCACAAACTCTAACAATTGCTGACCATTAGGAATCTACATTTAAAATAATAAGGCAGGTACCGTGTGAGGGCTAAAGTGACTTTCTGCAATCAGATAGATCTTGTGCTGTCTGGTGTAGGAGCCCATGTATTGGAATGAAGCAAGACTTGTGTGTATATTTAAGTAACGGTTCTTTATCTTTCCTCTCTCTCTCTCTTTCTTCTCTCTCTCTCTTTCCTCTCCCTCTCTCTGCCTATTCCAGAAATAAGATACATGAATGAATTTGTCACTACAATTAATTTTATTGTTCTCGTACAGGAGTGGTGGGTCAGGAGCCGGTGCTGTTCAGCGGTACCATTCGGGACAACATCACCCTGGGATTCGATCATGTGAGCGAGGCAGAGCTGATCGCCGCCACCAAGACTGCGCACGCGCACCAGTTCATCACTAAACTAGCCAACGTATGTACCATCTTAGTTTCATGTAAATTCACCGACGTGACTACTTTTTATCATTTCACTCTATTTTCCATGAGACGAGGACTTGGCGCTTACCATTCCCATGTTGTTCAGACGAATATAATTTTTTTCTTCAATCAAACGGTGCTTATGTGCTTCTTCCTCTAATGTGATCTCGCGACACATTTAAGAGTCTGAAGATATAGAATTGAAAGTTAAAAGTGATTTTTTATGCGTTGGATATCTCAATTAAACTTAAATGGACTTCTAAGTGTAATGAGAAAATTATGTTACAAATGGTTTAAAACTTACAAACTGGTGTAAACCCTGCCGGTCAAATGAAAAGTGGCCGGTATCCGGCGCCGGCCGCGGTCGCCGACACGCAGCACGTCGCCGGGGCGAGAGACTATTCATATGGACCATTTGTAGACAGGCGATGTCAATCAGAGGTAGCTCCATGTAAATGATTGGTATTTCGTGATCCGCAGGGCTACGAGACGGTGCTGGGCGAGCGCGGCGCGCAGCTGTCGGGCGGACAGAAGCAGCGGCTGGCGCTGGCCCGGGCGCTGCTGCGGCGGCCGGCGCTGCTGCTGCTGGACGAGCCCACCTCCGCGCTGGACCCCGCAGCCGAGCGACAGGTCACCACCCCCACACACACCCACACCCACACCCTACCTACCTACCACCCACACAGTCGCACTGGGCGTGGTCTACCATACAACACATAAAATTTGTTTTTTGCATGTGAAAATAATAATAATCTCAGGACAATTCACACAGCGCCATCTAGTCCCAAGTCAAGCAATCTAAAGCTTGTGTTACGGGTACTAGATAACTGATACAAGTACACAGATAATTTTTTTTGTAAATACATACATCATACTCATGAATACAATATGTTTGTGCCGTGCGAGGAATCGACCATCGGACGTAAAGCGGTGTGCTAGACCGCTAGACTACCGAGGTCGTCAAAATTAATGCTATTGAATTGTTGTTCTGACTTACCTGTTCTATTACAGGTGCAGGCAGCGCTGGACGCGGCCAGCAAGGGCAGGACCACACTAGTCGTGTCTCACAGGTAAAACTACAGTGACAGTTATTACTGACAATAATATATGTTACTATGAAATATTTGTGCCATAAAAATGGTAGACAAATGCCAACTACTAAATTAACTGATATGGCAGGCTGTCGACGATCGTGAACGCGTCTCGCATCGTATACTTGGAGCAGGGCGCGGTGCTGGAGCAGGGCTCGCACGCGGAGCTGCTGGCGCAGCGCGGGGCCTACTGGCGGCTCGTGCAGGACGACCTCACCGGCAAGTGAGTACCACCACCTACCACCTGCCACCAACGAACCACACACCGCTCACGTACCTCCGAATGAAAAATTACTAAAATTAATTCACGTATATATTACTATCTACTCGCCCCGGCTTCGCACGGGTGTACATGTATTTTACATGTATACCTTCCTCTTGAATCTCTCTATCTGTTAAAAAAACTGCTTCAAAATCCGTTGTGTAGTTTTAAAGATTTAAGCATACATAGGGACAGACAGCGACAGCGACTTTGTTTTATACTATGTAATGAAGATTTAGAGTGTTTTAGTGAGACAATTTATATACTATATACGACTGCGCCGTACCTGACACTATGTATAACATCGAAGCAAGTAGATTGCAAAGTCTGCGTATAATTTGTTAATAAATAATGTACTAAATATAACTCGCAGCGAAGTAACGCTGCATTTGTATCAGTCTGTTCCTGCGGTAATAGAATGCAGATGGACTGTATGGGACACAGTCACCTAGATACATCAAAATAATAATTGCATTTAATAATGTCTAGTAAGACAAATTCAATATTGTCTACTAGGCACTGCTGTATCTAAACTGTGTCACCCCACCTTACATTTTCCTACTTTTATTTAGTATATAAGATCATTATTTCTATGTACACATTGTCAGTTTATCACACACATCGTCTCGACCAGCAACATCTTATTATTCACCCGCAACAGTGGTGACCCCGACGTGATGACGTGGTCGAGAATACCTGGGAAAACGACGAGATCAAACAAGAAATCTCTGTCTGACGGCATCCTGCGCACCACCAACGATTACACATATATTCGGAAATTCAAGAGGCATAAAAGTCGTTGGCAATACTGCGCAACAAGGATCCTGCCGTGCTACTGACCCCCAGTAAACACAACTGCCTGCTGGATATAATCTCTGGACGAAAAATTGAAACTGGAAAAATAAAGCAAAAATGCTGTCTACAAAAGTACAGCCAACAGTCACCGCCGACGTCATTGCACACCTGTCGTCACTAATTGCGACACTGCGATCTCTATACGCGAAAAGCGCTCGCCACACACAAACAGACGCAGCAACTACCGATCTAGGTCAAATTCGCACCTACGGTCATTGCATTCAGAAAAATGACTATTATTTATATTATATCATCGCAAATATAAAGAAAAGGCATACAACTGTGACATGCCGCGCTCCTATGGACAACCGTCGGAAAACTAGATTCGACGCATAATAAGACGTACCGCTGTGCTGTTCATCCGTATAACCGCCTAGCTATACCCGACTCTATATAATGGACACCGAAAGCAAAAATCTCGATGAATAAAAAAACAAGCACAGACCAAAAAGAGCACTAGCGAAATCAAATTATTCGCCGCAAACAATTAATATGATATGCGAGTTCTTCACAAATATATTTTCTTGGTTATCATATAACGAGCCAAGGGATGAAACCAACGCAAGAAAAATGGCAAGCAATCGACGAGTACCCTAAACCCACGACAGTCGAAGATTTACGTCGTTATTTGGGTATAATGAATTTTTATTGTTACTAAAGTGCATAATATCTTAAATTTTACAGTTAACTTTTATATTTTTTTTTGTGTGTAATATATATATATTTTTTTCTCTCAAGGGGGGAATAATGGGACACAGTTGATACATCAAAATAATAATTGCATTTAATAATATAGACAAATTCAATATTGTCTACTAGGCACTGCTGTATCTAAACTGTGTCACCCCACCTTACATTTTCCTACTTTTATTTAGTATATAAGATCATTATTTCTATGTACACATTGTCAGTTTATCATCATCTGTAATATACATCGTCTCGACCAGCAACATCTTATTATTCACCCGCAACAGACTGCAGCGCTTTACTTTCGAGCAGATTATTATAAAGCATCTGGCCCGTCCCGCAGGAGTATAGCGAACACTCTGAGCAGCGCCACGGAGGAGGCGGAGGGTGCGGAGGGCTCGGAGGGGGCGGAGGAGCGCGAGGGGGAGTGGAGTCCTCTGACGCGCGGGCTGCACGCGCGCCGCACCGGCAGCATCACCAGCAGACACTCCGTGCGCGGAGGTACGCAACGACACCCGCTCCGTCCTCACTCATCATCATCATCATCATCATCATCACCTCACTGCAGTCCACTACTGGACATAGGTCTCTCCTAACGCAACCGAGCAGAATTTCATGTTGTAGTTTTATTTTATTTGTATATAGGTAAAACGTAATAGACTTGGTATATTGAGAAACTATATTCAGAAAGACTATTGACAAGAGAATGAAAGAAATGACTTATCAAACAAGACTGAACTATAAATTTAAATACAAATCAGATACTTTCGATCTGTCGCTTGCAGAGACCAGCGTCTATGGTGGCGGGTTTTCCTGGTACCTCGTAAATCGTATTTCATATAAAAATATTTCATGTTTTTATTACAGAAACGTTTGCGCGGAGCAGCATCCGCCTGGGCGCGGTGTCCGCCGCACACATACAACCGCCGCCCCTGGATCTCACCGAATACGTACAAGTAAATTATTATATGTCTATATTTTACCTTTATAAGGATCACTATCATTATTCTGACTGGCAGTAGCATTTTCTTATCTTAATAATATTATAAATGCGAAATTTTGTGAGTATGGACGTTTGTTATTCTTTCACGCAAAAACTACTGAACGGATTCTGTTGAAACTTCACACTGATATAGTTCATGCTTTAGAATTACACATTAGAATTACACACATATTACAAAAAATAATATACTATTTGTATTTCCTGGAAAAATTAAAAATCCATAGCTCTGACAATATTATCTGATTGCACTAAGAATAAGTGCGTAGCGGTTTCTACGTTGATTATCGCATGCCTCTTACTTGTTATACTGTAATTATTTATATAAAATAAACATCTATTAAAAAGAGCAACACAAGTTTCTTGCTCATTCTTCTCGTGATGAATCTGCGTTCCGAATGAGTGGTAGAATCAAAATATGACTATTCAAAAGTGCTCGTAATGAGTTTATTTGAATAAAGATTATTTCTATTTATATTTCCTAGTTTAATGGCAAATTAATGACTTATACGTCAGTTTGAAACATGCTACGTATGTCACAGGACTCCGACGATACGAAAGAAGAGGAAGAAGAGGCTCCGTCGGCGTCCACGTGGTCGCTGCTGAAGCTGAACGCGTCGGAGTGGCCGCTGCTGGCCGGCGGCGGGCTGGCGTCCCTGCTGGTGGGCGCCACCATGCCCGTATTTGCCTTACTCCTCTCCAGGTTATACGGGGTTAGTGTACTTGTATTTTTTTTTATTATACTATATATGTATATATATATATACTAGCTGACTCCGCAAACGTTGTTTTGCCATATACATTAAAGTCCCTATTAAAAATAAAATAAATTTTCACCCTTCTACCATCAAAGAAGGGTGAAAATTTAGGGTTGTTTCGAAAAAAGACGGCATTAAAAGGTACATAAAAAAATTTATTGCCACTCATTTTTTCGACAATTTTTTTTTATTTTTAATTTTTAAAATAAAAATTATGTCGGAATAATGAACAAACAATAATTTTTGGGTGAGCGACCCTTAACACTTAGGGGTATAAAAATACTTATAAACCTAATCTCAGACCTAATGAATATACATATAAAATTTCATCAAAATCGGTCAAGCTTCGGAGGAATATAAACACGAAACGTGTTGCACGAGGATTTTTATACTAGATTATAATGTCCCGATTGTTGGCAGATGTTCGGCGACTCCGACGGGGAACTGATCCTGCGCCAGTCGCAGCTGTACGCGGGGCTGTTCGTGGTGGTGGCGGCCGTGTGCGGGCTGGTCATGTTCCTGCAGACGTGGCTGTTCAACAGGGCCGGCACCGCGCTCACAGACCGGCTCCGAGTCCTGTCCTTCAAGAACTATCTCTACCAGGTACACACCACACACTGACATATCAGCCAGCTCTCTTTAACTTTCCTCATTAGATTAATATTCTATCCAGTGTTATAGTTTCTGAATTAATAATATATGTATGTTATTGTGAGCCTGTTAACGTAATAAAGTAACCTGCTCTTGTCAGAAATTTAGTCATTTTTCAACAGGGCAGCGAATCGACGCAATGTATTTTCTCGGATCATTAATGTTATGTTAGAGTGATCTTTAATAGAACATTTAATTTAATTGTGTGTCATGTATAACATCGTCATTATTGGAGTGTGTATGGGTTATAAATTAATATGATGTTACTATTGCAGTAGATATACTGTTGCTGTGTAGACTGACACCAGTGTTGTTGGTACTTGCTACAGGAGCAGGGCTGGTTCGACGCGCCGCAGAACTCCGTGGGTGCGCTGTGCGCGCGGCTGGCCACAGACTGCGCAGCCGTGCAGGGCGCTACAGGTACCGCCCACCACCACACCACACCACACCACCACACCATCACACCATCACACCATCACACCAACATACCATCAGACCACCACACCGCCTCTGCCTGCCTCGCGATCCCAAGCCGATCAACCACTCTAGTATAGTACAATGCAAGTAGTCTAACTTTCACTAAATAGACAAAAATATCACAACTCATTTAGTTGTAATATTTTCGTCTATTCAAATAAAGAAATCCTTCCATAGTTTTAGAAGCTACAATGTAGACAGATACACAAGATTCAAACTAATATTTTCCTGTTTCCCTGCATTGCTAACATTCATCATTACTTTTATAAATTCTATTTATTACGCAGAATAAGTATGTTGTGTGAATGATGATATGGTAAGAAAGGGAGTAAATAACGAGATGACTGCGAACAGGGATGAATGGAAGAGAAAAACATATTACGACGACCACGAATAAATGGGATAAGGAAGAAGCAGATGGTGATGATGAACAGTGTCAGATATATATTTTTTATGAGTGTAGACCACTTCATTTCCGACACCCCATGTAGTTATATTACCTTTCTAAAATAATAATGTTCTCTAATTTAATTAAATCTGCCGCCCCTAGGCCGCAGCCTGATGGGACTGATGATGAATAAGTACGGAGTTCACAATAATTACTTATGTACAGGGACCCGGCTGGGCACCGTGCTGCAGGGACTCAGCACCATGCTCATAGGAGTAGCGCTCGCGATGGCCTACTCCTGGAAGATGACCCTCGTCAGTCTGCTCAGTGTGCCCTGCGTAAGTAACGCCTTTATAATATACTAGCTCACCCGCGCAACTTCGTCTGCGTTTCATTTCTCCACCTTTTGCAATATTTTTCATTGCAGCTCCGCTCCTATTGGTCGTAGCGTAATGTTATATAGCTTAAAACCTTCCTCGAGAAATGGACTATCCAACACAAAAAGAAATTTTCAATTCGAACCAGTTCCTGAGATTAGCGCGTTCAAACAAACAAACAAACTCTTCAGCTAAATTGAACCCTTTTCGTACCCATCTGTCCATTTCTGGACAACTGGTAATTTTAAAAGCCCTACAGATATATTCATTATTGTTCACGCTGCAGTAATGTTCATCTATGCATATAAATAAAATTGGAGTGTCTGTTTGTAATATTGAAATAACCGTTTTTTACTACATGCATGTGAATATAAATACATATGTATGTACATACACCAAAATTACATTTTTTTACAATTTTTGTCTGTCTTTGTTCCGGATTATCTCTTAAATGCCTGGACCGATTTTGACAGGACTTTTTTTGGCAGATAGCTGATGTAATAAGGAGTAACTTAGGCTATTCCTTTTTTTTTTCTAATAAAGTTAAATTCCACGCGGTTGAAGTCGCGGGTACAGCCAGTAATATCTATTAACGAAAACAATCGTAGTACGTAGCTACCGAAATGTATTAACAAATGTGTCCACTGCAGGTAATCGGCGCGATATACCTGGAAGGCTATATCACCAAGCGCACCGAGGTGCAGGAGCGGCGCGCGCTAGAGCTCGCCTCCAGGATCGCCACGGAGGCGGTGCTCAACGTGCGCACCGTGCACAGCCTCGGTATGTACACACACACACCATGTTTAATATATATACGTATACCTACAGGTCGAAGCTATATTATTGAACTGTTCATCAAACAAATCTTAATCTTAATAAAACAATTTAATTCAAAAGTGCTTCAATGTATAGAATAAATGATTTTTTATTCTATTTTATTTTTAATTAATTTTGGTTAATGTCTGATTTTATTCATAATAATAATAAAATTGATATTTATTTTATTTATATAATAATAATAAATATCAAATTAGTAACTGATTGTTACTGAAGATAATTTATATAAGCGAGGGGGTAATGTACTATACAATCATGTATGAACGATACATACAACAAAAAAATTACAGTTGCTCCTGTTTATTCATTATTTGCTAGCTAGTCGACCCGACTTCGCACGGATGTACATGTATTATATGTATATTATATTTTATATAGTACCTTTCATTTTTCAAAAGTAACCGCTTCAAAATCCGTTGCGTAGTTTTGAAGATTCAAGCATACATAGGGACAGACAGCGACAGCGACTTTATTTTATACTATGTAATGATATACTTAATCACTTGTAAAGATGTCTGTTCATGTACTAGGCGTGGAGAAGACGATAGTGTCTCGCTACGAGCGCGCGCTGCTGGAGGCGGGTCGGGGCGGGGGCGGGGGCGGGGGCGGGTGCGGGGGGGCGCGGGTGCGGGGCGCGGTGTACGGGCTGTGCCTGTGCGCGCCCACGCTCGGGTACGCAGTCTCGCTCGCGTACGGCGGCGTGCTCATCGCGCGCGAGGGGCTGCGCTTCGAGTACGCCATACTGTGAGTACCCCGCCATCGGATCCCTCTTCCCCACTGAGCACGTGCCCGAGGCCCCGCGATAGACTGGGGCCCTCTAGTCTAGTCACTACTTCATTTTTTCCTTTACACTCATTCTGAGTGTAAAGGCACCTATTCCGGTCGATACCGAGCACTGCTTCAGTGCTATGTTGTATGGTGCTATGTTCGGTCCAGGGTGTCGGAGGCGCTGATCTACGGCGCGTGGATGCTGGCGGAGGCGCTGTCGTTCGCGCCCAACTTCGCGGCGGCGCGGCGCTCCGGCGCCCGCATCCTGGCCGCGCTGCAGCGCCGCCCCCTCGTCTGCGACCAGCCCGCAGCCGCCGACCCAAAGGACTGGGTACGTTCTCACTGCTACACATTCTTTTATAGCATCGGGTGACGACTAATTGTACATTATTATCACAGGAACATTACTAGGAAAACACCAGGTAAGTTGCCGGCTTTTTAACGACGAACGAGCTATTTTCTTGGGGGTTTTAATATCGTATCGATAGTACGCATCCAAAATTTAAACAAAACGGCATTCATCGAATGATGGTATCTTGTATAAGACAAGAAAAACATAGATAACGTACTATCTAAGAAGTTTGCGTCACACAGTCATACAGTTGAAGGAACCTTCCTATAACCATAAATTACAAAGGTCCTAAACCAATTAGCAATGAAAAAAGTTGTCGTGTATTCGTTTCTGGTATTTTTCACTTTTCTACATGCACCCTTAGCAATAATACCTAAACCATTTCAGGTGGCGACCGGTGAACTGAACTTCGAGAACGTGAACTTCCGGTATCCGACCCGGCCCGGGGTGCCCGTGCTGCGCGGATTGAACCTGAAGCTGGAGGCGGGCCGCACCCTCGCACTCGTCGGGGCTAGCGGCTGCGGCAAGTCTACTGTCATGCATCTGCTGCTGAGGAGTTATGACGCGGAGAGCGGTTCCGTGGTAAGTTGTCACTTCGTTCGCACCTACCGCCGACCACCACCACTTCCACTCGTTGCCGACCTCTACATATCCAAGTGCATTTTATCTGTACCTCTAGTGATAATTAAAAGCTCAGTCTATCCCATTCGTGTCTCCAGAAACTGGACGGGCGCGACGTGAAGGAGGATCTGACGCTGAAGTGTCTCCGATCGCAGCTGGGTCTCGTGCAACAAGAGCCGGTGGTGTTCGAGAGGAGCATCAGAGAGAACATCGCGTATGGCGACAACACCCGCGAAGTCACCATAGATGAGATCATAGAAGTCGCGAAACAAGCCAACATCCATAATTTCATCGCCGGACTGCCGATGGTAAGATCTGATTTACTACTGTAGCTACTGCCGATTCACTGCCAATAGACTCTCCACATTCTGCTCAGCGTTAAAGTATACTTTTCTGCGTGGCCATGTGGTGCAAATATACACTAATATTAAAGAGAAACAAATCAAAGGATTGAAATTTGGAAAATATCAAAGAGGAACAATTTGTTTGTTGAATTGAATAAGTTTGGAACCTACTGGACTGATTTGAAAATTATTTTTCCATTATCCCTGACGAACATAAGCGATAGAATATGTTCAAAAACTGACGGGTATATACATTGTGCGCGCAGGGCTACGAGACGGTGCTGGAGGCCGGCGGGGCGGCGCTGTCGGGCGGACAGAAGCAGCGCGTGGCCATCGCGCGAGCCCTGCTGCGGAGGCCGCGCGTGCTGCTGCTGGACGAGGCCACCTCCGCACTCGACGCCGCCAGCGAGAAGGTACACACCACACACCACCGTGGATATGCTTTCCATGAGTTACAAGTATCGTATAGAAAAAGTCAATACGTCAAAGGATATATTGGAATTACCCTTAAATAAATTCAAAACATCTATTACTTCATATTCACTGAGCAAAGCCTATTACCCACTAAACGATTAGCGATAGTTGTTCATGCACGGGATTTTCATTTAATGTTAGACATAGACACCTATATAAATATACATTGTAAATAAACTGGCTTTTAAAAAATATATATTCAATTGACTTTCTTGCCAGTTCTACTCAATTGAACCTATATACTGAAGTGAACGGTAGGGAAAAAATTAAATATAAAAAATTTTACATTCATAAGCGGCTAAAATGTCCTACATGAATAAATGATTTTTGAATTACATACACCAATTGTAATGTCACCTAGTCTCTAGAGTGAAGTTCTCTTATAAAAGTGTTCCCGTACGTGCAGGTGGTGCAGGCGGCCCTGGAGGCGGCGTCTCGCGGCCGCAGCACGGTGGTGATCGCTCACCGCCTCGCCACCGTCCGCCACGCCCACACCATCGCCGTCGTCGACAGAGGTAACCCTCACTGCTACTCGTCACTCCTTGCACACATCGATACGTTCAGAAATCTTTTTAAATCATTCATTATAAAGGATCGTTTAATACCTAAATAATAGACCGTGACATATATAGCAGAACGCTTAATTGGGAAATTCTGTCATACCAATAATTGTGCTTCTATTAAAAATACTAATTATTCACAAATTTGTTTCCAGGTGTCGTAGCAGAAAGCGGTACACATGACGAACTAGTCCGTAAACGGGGATTATATTGGGAATTATTACAACAGCAGGGTCCCAGCGAAGCGATAGCGTGAACCGGCAATTAGCTGTAGACGCCATTTTATATTCGCGTTGATCCGCCATATTGATTTCCGGCCATCTCGTGTCAGCAGGGAATCATCCAAATCTTGATAAATCAATTGGAGAATTACGAACCAGTATTGTCTTTATAATTCTGCGTCATTGCCGCGCGCCATTTATTCTTATATCACTTTAATGTAGCGATATAGCAAAAAATAATAGTAAGTTGTTAATTTATAGAGATTAAAAATTACTCAAACTAGAGAGAGCTAGGTTATGTGTTCATTAGCTCATTTATAAATATTAATTGTAGTTAAAATCATTACATGTCTCATGTAGAATTATTGCAAGTACTGCAGTAATAACGTATTAAATTCCAGGAAGCTGTAGGTTACCCTGTGTATAGCACAGTGTACCTGTACCAGGCACAGATTTAAGAAATATAAATATCAAACTTGCAATGTAAATAATAACTTCTGTCAATTACAGACACGAGTGCCTTTAGATATTTAGACCTAAGTATTTGTAATGTGAAAGATTTATATTTAAGGTAGTTTCATGCTGAGTAATAGTGTTAGTAGGTATATTTTTGATACATTTTTATAGCAACATTTCAATTTAAAAAATAAAACTAAAGAGTGACATACATGGCATCTTCTTTCCATAGACGAGGTCAGACTGGCCATAGACAGCGCCAGACTTGTGATATTTATATGTAGCACCTCTATGATGCTCATACAATGCACGATTGCAAATATTTTAAAAAATAAATAGCTAACCAGTGCGACTTCAACTGCATCACACTTGTCACACACACATTTATAATTATGTTTAGCAATTTATATAAATTTTTTTTAAATTATAACCTATGTGTTATTCTGATGTATAAACTATATTACTGTAAAGTTTTATCAACATCAGTTGAGTAGTTTTTACGTGAAAGAGTAACAAACATCCATCCATACTCACACAATTTCGTGTTCATAATATTAGTAAAGTAGAAATAGCCAATGTGAAAAATAGTGAACTTATAAAATCCAGTAATTTTGTAACAGTTTCAGTGTACCTACCAGATACTTATATAATAGCAAATATTTGAATCGAATTATGTTATTTAGCAATTAAGTAGCTGTGTAGTGATAGTATTTGTAATTTTTTGTACCTATTATTATATAAGTCGTTAACTTTGACTGTGATTATGTTTAATAAGTTATTATACTTGGATGATACACATACTTTTGAAGTTTTGTGTCCATTTACTGTACAAATAGTTGTAATTATTTACTTGCCTATTTTATTTATTGTATAATAATTATCAATTGATATTTTAATACTTAAGTAACTTTAGAATTGCATCTTCAAAGTTCCTACACATTGCACCAACTTATTGTACACTTTGTAGTAAGTTATATGACAACTCAATTAGACACGCTTCTTTAGATACCTACTCATATGAATCAAGAAAAACTGATATTATTGTGTAATGGTGTTATAGTTTCACTAGCTGTACCTGCGATTTCGTTCGCGTGGAATTAAATTTTATTTTTCTAAAATAAAAGTATCCTAAGTTACTCCTTATTACATCAGCCACGTGCCAATAAAAGTCCCGTCAAAATCGGTCCAGCCATTTCAGAGATTAGCCGGAACAATCAGACAGACAATTGTAAAAAATGTTATTTTGGTGTACTATGTACCGTATTTACATATGCATGTAGTAAAAAACGTTTTTTTTTAATATTACAAACAGACACTCCAATTTTATTTATATGTATAGATGTATAGATTACAAAGCTGATTATTATGAAATTTGTGTAAAAATCACTGAGAACGTAGATATGTAATTCGTTTTGACGTAGCAACAATTATACTCGAATGAAGTGGCGGTGACATGTTAAGGAAGAAATCTCATTTTGTATAATTATGTACAATTAATAAGATACATTTAGATGTAATAGACACAATACCAATTATGTTGGTTCACTGCGTAGTATGTCAGGACGACTCCTGTAGCCGTCGCGGCGGCCGCTGTCCGACCAACTATACCCCGTTTTTTAATCCCGGAGACTAAATTGACAGGTGTAAATGTCAAATTGTCAAATAATGTTACCACCTACAGCGCGGTAGTGGTGTACCTGCGATACCGATTTTTTTAATCGGAAACTTTTATTTTAACATTAGTTTTAAAGCTTTAAATGACGTTTCCACAACAAAATTTTAAAATTTACGTACCTACATATACTAGTGTTTCCATTACTGTTTTCGTATTATACAGCATAAAAATGTATTTTTGTTGTTTCCGTACAAATAGTAATTTTGACAGTATTAGGCTACAAACCAACATTTTTTTCTTTCCAACGGCTAAATATTTTAAATACGTATATTTTTTATGATATATGACACTATAAAAAAGTAATTTGTTTTAAAAAGACTTTATTTTAATAAAAAAAAAATATTTTCATACAACTCTGTACATATTAATTTTACGTTACTGCGTTTTATTTAAGCACCCCACATTATTTCTGAATCACCTATAAAAATGGGTAATTAATATTAATTTCCGATAGTGCCACAACCGTATTTAAAAAATGTAAAAACCTTAGAAACGTCAAATTTGTCTCCAGGATTAAAAAACAGCCATACCACCGCTCGCACTCTATGAACAACTTGACGTGTGTCACAGGAGCTGCATGTACAGTACACCAATGTACGAAGATGATGTTAATAAAACGAAACGTTTATAATTTAAAGTATTTTATTTTATTGTTCACATAACATTATTTGTTACATTACATTATCACTAACGTGACCATTTATTCTTGGACTCAAAACCGGTCTTTGTTTTATTTATGTCAATTAAAATACAGGCAATAAAAAAACAAATTCTTAAAGCTATTTATTCAGAAAAAGTTAGATTAAAAGTTAAATATTATTGGATAAATAAATTTGTTTTAATATAGTTAGTGAAGCTTTTAAGTAAGTCTGAAACTCTTGGCACGTTTCTATATTGAATTTGTGTTTCTGGCCAGTTGTTCTCAATTGGATCTGTATACTGAACTGGACAGTAGGGAAAAAAAATTATAATGTAAAAAATTGACGTACGCGGCTAAAATGTCCTACATGAATAAATGAATTTTTAATATATTCACTTTAATTATCAACAATAATCGACATCACAAATTTTCGCGGAGTTTCCGAAAACGGGACAATTTTGCGACCCAGAGTTCATTTTGGGGACACCGTCCCGTTTAAAATGGGACGTCTGATCACGGTAGTTATCACCATCATGTACCTACTATATATATACTCGTTGTCTGTTCGTCCGCTACAAATATTAGAGTTTGAACTATATCACAATACCTCCCACTCTGTATGCAGTATCATGTATGCAGAACGTCTACTTTCATATGAATAGTCACAATTATTTAAAAAAAAAACACGTAAATAGAATAAAAGTTTCTTATATCCCAGCGTTAAGAATAGATCGTAACAAAGCATATTTGAATAAAACAATTACATGCTTTCTTTGAAATGATTACTCATAATAAACATATAAGATATTTTACTATGTGATTAGTTGGAAAAAAAAATTAAAATAAAACGCCTACAATTACTGCAAGGCGCGCCGGGACAGCGTATATAGTTTTGTACTTTATTCATTCATACATTCGTAAAACTAGTCCGATCTATATCTTTCTCTAAACAAAGTTAATAGAACCTATTTGTAATTGTCTAGCCAGCTAAATCTACAAAGACATAAGGCCCCGAAATACTCTCACTCTGTTTGTTTGGTCAAATATTTACATAGAGATTCTCTACATGCTATATGGGGATTGAAGATCTTAAATATAGATTATATACAGTGAAATATTTACCACCTATAGTTAAATTATCTGTCTTTTTTCTAAAAAGGACAGATATTCAATCGTATTGAAAATAGACGCGAAAAATTTTTGGGACACTTGATACGGCACTATTAATTCATGAAAAGTATTATTGAGGGAAATATAGAAGGAAAGAGAAAGTGGAAGACCAAGGCACAGTTACATCAAATTATTCGTGTCGTATTAGCATTGAAAAGAATAATGGAAGATCGTGGGAGCGTGGCTCTTAAATCATGAACCAATGAATGAGTTGTTAAAATATAAAATGTGTTTCAACCTATTTCAGTTATGATCTCATATACTTTTAAAATTTTTAAAAGGGACAAAATTTTAAAATGACTATTTTAAATTTGAGCAAAAGACAAAACACTCGTGTCGATTTTTATTGCTCATTCTTCTTGTGATGAGTCAGCATTCCGAGAGAGCGGTAGAATAAAAAAACTTGACTATTCAAAAATGCTTATATTAAGTTTATTTGAATAAAGATTATTTCTATTTCTAGTTCTAAAATTTGATAAATGTTATAAAACACTATAACACTTTGCCATTACGTGTTATAGTGTTTTATATGAAGAATTTTGACGTTTATACGAAGTAGGAGACGAATATCAAATAAAAAACTGATGTTTTCATATCAGGCACCTGACTGTATCTATCTCTCACGCAGATATACAGTACATAATACCATCTCCTGGGGAAAGGGTATTGTTAGTAATGTGAACTAATAACCCCATTACTAGCAGTAGACATACACAAAAACAAGGAAAATATAAATCAAACCGAGATATACATAAATATAACACACGAAATAAAGACAAACTTGTAATTCCAAAAAAGACTAGCAAAATCTATAAAGAAGGGACAGCCTTTGAAGATAAAAATGTACAATAAATTGCCAAAAGAAGTAAATCGGCTGATTTACCAATTTAAAAATTTAGAAGAACTATGAAGTCAATTTTTGAAAATAATCCATGTTATCACATAAATGATTTTATGTCGAAATCAAATTTAAATTTATGTTAATGTGAATATTTACTATTGAATTATAATTCTGTAACTGACGAGCTAAATAACTGTTTTGACATGGCAAATAAAAAAATCTGAACACTCTGACCTCCACGCATTTCTTCCCTGAAACCATAGTGGTAAATGGCCAAAGGTCACTTGCTAAGATGGACTAACTGACCTGACTACATGCTCATTTTAGCCTACACTGGTGTCCTACCAAACTGTTAACGTAGGTGCCAGTGCTGGATTTACATTTGTTATGAGTGTAGGCCACTTTATTTCCGCCGCCCCATATACCTATCTAAAATAATTATTTTCTCTAATTTAACTGTTTGACTTTTACCCTCTGAAATCGACCGTCCTCCCTCTGAAATCTGCCGCCCCTACGCCGCGGCCTATATAGCCTATTTATAAATCCAGGACTGGTGGGGGACATTCCATTATCATCCATAAAAAAATCATCTCCTTTTCACACAGTCTGTGCAAAGGGATCAACAATTTGGTCCGTATGTCATCAGAAGGCACCGCCACCCACATTACAATCATTAGCGGGAGTCTCGTTGTGTGTTTACCGCCCTAATGTTCGCCGTCGAGAGATTCGTCGTCGCTACTGTCGTGGTCGTCGTCTGTGAAGGCTGCGAGCACGAGCGCCTGCGCGGGAGCCAGGAACACGGCCGGCAGCGGGGACACGCCCCCACACGCGCCCCACCACTCCCACCCTACACAGATTATAGAAATTTAATATAATTACTTTTGAATAGTCAAAACATTTTTTTCTACCGTTCATTTCGTTAGTCAGAAATTTGCGTATTGATCTTTTAGATAAATGTTGTTCAGCATTATATATTTAAAATTTTATGTGAATAAAAGCTACCAAGCAGCAATATTGACACAAGTAAATAAATATTGTATAATAGCTACTTGCTTAACAAAATTAGAAAGTTAATAAAAAGGGACCAAGATCTGGTCCTTGTGGCACACCCAGTCCAACAAAGTTTTCAATGATTTCTACGACTCATATTCTTCTGTTGGGTTGGTTTGAAGGACAATGACAGTATCTACTGCGTATCAAACTCCGTTCCGTTCTTTAAAAACTTATATAGAGTTATAAAATTGTTCGAAATAAATATGATGGAACAGACCTATGTGGTATCACTAAAGTACTGACCGTGCGCGAGAGCCTTGGGCACGGCGCAGGCTGCCAGCGGGGCGACCTCGTGCGCCGCCAGGACGCCCCCCCGCGCGTACAGCGAGCACCACGCCGCGCTCGCGCCCACGTAGCTCACCTCTACACACACGCACCACGCCGCATCACTACCGAACTCTAACTCAAACCTATCAATTAATTAATAATTACGAAGACCCGAGCCGTAGTCCGAGCACCCAGCGGTGCAGTCAAACTAAACTCGTATCCGTCAGGCAGGAGTTAGCCTTCAGCCGCTCCACATAAGTCATTCCACGAAGAGTGCCGTCTGCACTTGCCCCATATCGTTCAGTGACACTGTAAACGCCAGCTGTGGCCAGCAGCATTAAAAATTTGAAATGAAATAAAATGATATTTATTCAGTAAATGTTAAAAAAAAACATACATTAAACAAACAAAAAAAAACTCAAACATTACAACAATTACAAAAAAAAAGTACATTTTCCATTTATTGTTATAAAATTACAAATTATGTATGTGCGCGTGTGCGTGCATGCGTATGTTTGTTTGTCGAAGCATCTACAGAATATGTCCGTGCTATTATTTTGGAAAAAAGTTCCTTAAAAAATGAGCAGCCTTTGAAAACGTTGCACTTTACATATACATATGTAGATAATCTATTATGATCCCTTACTCTTACTACGTTAAACATTTTACCTGCCGAAGTTTTCTCGCGGCACTACAGCATGGGGTTTTTGAAGGGTTAAGGTCTCTTAAACGGTTCGGCAACGCGCACGTGACACTATTGGTGTCTCAAGCGCTATAGGCTACGGTAACCGTTTACCATCAAACGGTCGAATGCTCGTTTGCCACCATCGTAGTAAAAACAAAATATTTACTTTTCTTACTATAACTACTCACCCAGCATGAGCGTGGCGAGTACGTGTGTTAGGTGCAGCCCCCCCTCCGCGTGGTGCAGCCGGCGGCAGCAGTCCACGTAGAGCAGCCCCAGCGCGGCCAGCTCGGGGCGCGCGCGGCCCGGCCGGGGGCGGGGGCGGAGCGCCCGGGGGCGGAGCGCCCCCACCACGAACGGCGCCGCGGACGTCGCCAGCGACCGCACCAGCGCCCCCACGGGGGGCACGCTCGCCCGCCCGCACTGCGCACACGTGTACACCCTCACCAGGGGAGCGCCGGAGGCACTTTCGACCATATTTTTATTTTATTGAGGAGTTTCGGTTATTGTCATGTGCTTTATTGGGATCTCTAAAACATGGTCGAGCGCAGTGATGCCTGGCGTCATACTCGTGAACGAGTGCTGCTTGTAGGGACTGGTCTGCTCTTAATCACTACGACTGTTTTAATCCTACTGTGTACTTAATATCTGACCCTAATAAATTAGTTAGTAATGCTAGTAGGTAGTTTCGAATTGGAAATGTAAAGTCACAATGATCATTTAAAAGAGCAACACGCAAGTTTCTTGCTCGTTCTTCTTGTGATGAGACAGCTTTCCGAAGGAGCGGTAGATTAAAAGAATCATAACTTAATTTAAACACTTTTGAATAGTCATACTGCAGATAAAATAATAATTCAAAAGTGCTTAAATTAAGTTTGAATAAATGATTTTCTATTCTATTCTATTCTTTAGACCTGTATGGCCGGCGACCATTGAAAAGTAAAACGGTGTGCCAAACAGCTACCAAATAAAGACCACCTAGGTCAAATGTACGTCCCGTAGGGGGTGTCTTACAATGAAGAACATGGCGAGTGGCTCCGCTAGCAGCGAAGCGGCGTAGTTGGCGGCGGTAAGAGCGGCCGCGTGCTGCCGCGACAGCGACAACGACAGCCACGCGCACGGACCCCCCACGGACGACACCAGCGCGCTGGAACAACACCCCACACTTCTAATTGATGATACTGCTATGGTGCACCAGTCTACGATGACTGGTATGTTGTAACGCTGGCGGGGAACCAGTGGAAGACGATAAGATGAATATGAGATCAGGTCAGTTAGCCCATCATGACAAATTTACCAGGAATTTGTTATGGTTTCCGGGAGGAACCGCGTGGAGGGCAATCTGACATGGTACATTGCTAGCAAAGGGTTCATCAGTCTACATTACTAATTATGAACTGGTAAGAAAAGGGCCTCCAGTACACATCTACTAATTTGTAGGGTTTAAGGGAAGTGCTTTTGAGCGCGCATTTCCCCGCAGATGCGGCCAGTATATCGGCGAGGTAGGCATGGCCATGGGTTGATAACCGTTGTTGGTCGGTAATCATCTGAACATCAGCACTTGCAGCTCACAAATAAGTATATTGGCCGCGTTTTAAAAATTGGCAAGTGTTTTTAGAGAGTACCTAGTATAATGTTTTTTTCGGACTACTCTAATGATATTGGCCGCAGATGACCTTTACAGCTACACCAGACGATAGAGGGTGAGTGCAGATGGCACTCCAAACCCGCGGAAGTACTTTAGTCTGAGGGCACCGCTAGGGGTTCGAACCTCGGCTAAGGCCGCCGTAATTTTGATTCCCGTCTGAAGTGGCGAGGCGACCGAGGGCACCAGTCGCCCGGTTGATTGCGCGGTATGGTGTTGTTGAGAATATCTTCGGCGTCATGTTTGTGTGATACCGTGGTCGGGACGGAACTATATAGTGGGAAGTTAAAAGTCATAGAAAGGTAACGTTTGAAATACTATTGTAATGTTCACTTTTCACGCCCCAAAGAGTGCCAATGAAATCTAGTCCTTCTGTTTTCAGTCATAAGCTTTGTTCGGCTCGGGACTGGATGGTGCTGTTGAATTGTCCTGAGCTATATACTTACCCTTTGACCATCCTATGGTCCACTCCGTCTCTGAAGGCGGCGACTGCGGCCACACAGAGCGCGGGCGCCACCACGTGCGCGTGCGCAGCGCACGCCACCAGCAACCGCGGCCGGGGGCCCCGCGCCCCCCGCTCCCCCCGCGCCGCCCACTCGCCCCGCGCCAGGCCCCCCGCCACGTAGTACACGTACCACAGCAGGACGTACCACACGTACTCCGTGCGCAGAGGGCCTGTACATTAACAACGTTTATTATATTCGAGCAATGAGAATTTTTTTATGTTAACTATTTGTATGTTCAGGTCACCGTATAGTAAGTTGGGACAGCCGACTGTACTGAGCAAAACAAATATATTTTAATTTGGACACCTATAATTTAATAGATTTCTGGTGAATTTTCTTAAATTATTTTAACTAATGCTACTCTCATTAAATTGTTGATTATCAAAAGATATTAATAATATCTTTTCATTTCTTTTATAGTTAATCAAGTTCTAAGTGATCTATTATTGATCTAGCGTAACAGTTCTTCAGAATTAAATGACAATCCATTAACTTTAATATTCTAGTCAGTTATTTCTAATAGAAACTGTATATTTATAGCAAGCCTACAGCGATCACTACTCAAAATCAATTAATAAAATAATAATATTTAATTTAATTCAATAATTGTAATACATATTTATGTATGTTTCAAAGTATTCAATTGATACTGGTGTAGATTTCATATGTTCAACTGGGCAGACCCTGCTAATATAGGTTGGACTCCATTAACATTGTAGATATTTTTTATATTCTAAATATTGTTTCAGTGGGGCAGTCCCCACTGAAAGGGGCCCTTTGTATCCGGGGCCCTGGGCTGCAGTCCAAAAAGGCCTTAGGTAGATCCGCCCCTGAGTGCTACCTGCGTTTTGACTCAATATCATAAACCCTCCAGAAAATTCAAACAATTAAATTCTGCAGACAATTCAACAAGAAACTGAACTAAATTATAGAATAAGAATTGAATGTAAATGAATATAATATCTTACCACTCTGCTGTGGTGATATATGATTACTTGAAGTGGTGCCAATCGGGGCAAACAGTTTGCTGCAATTTGCGAGAGAAGTCTACTGTTCATTTGTGACGGTGGTGGTCAGTTCAGTGTATAATATATACAATTACTTTTAATAGTATTCCTTCTCTAACAATACAAGTTAACCGTGATTCTGTGTTGTTAACAGGTTCATGATGTAATCTGTGTCTACACAAATGGTTAATTTTAATAAATAAAATAGAAAAACTACTTAATCAGAGAAAAAGATTAAAAATGTAACTAGTGATATCTAAATGCATTTAGGTATATTGTTTATAATTAGTTATGTGTAAATTTCAATTAAAACAAAGCCAGTTGCAAGAAGTTATTGGAAAATGTAATAAACACTAATGCATTTTCATGCCATTCTATCAAAGTAAGTTTCTTGCAACAAGCAATATAAGTTTAAGAATAAAACTTTTCATTACGTGGCCGAATGGGGTGCAATGCGTTCTAGAATGATCTAAGGATGAGCATGCAGAGTAGTTGCCTCCGGGCGCGCCGACACGTGGCGCCAGCACCGCCAACATCATCACCACCAGCACGCCAAACATTAGCCAACGTTTCTTCATCTCTTTCCACATATCTAACTTGTAATCGTTTCTTAATCTGTTAGAACGCTTCCCCCGACTATAAACCACGTTTGCCGCTAAAGAAATAGAGCTCATTGTAAGTAAAAATATATTTTTCACAATATAAACCGTATCTAATTAATTTCGTATGCGAGTGATTCAATTGAGGAGCTTTTTGAGGAATTTTTTGAAATAAAATACAATAAATAAATTTTGCATTTTTAACGCAACCTTGTGACAAAAATCAATCACGTAGCGACGAAATTTTAAAATACGCGCATCTGCAGTGGTTCAGAATGCCGCATATGACGTCATTTGACAGTACACGTTTTATTTCATCAACATTGCATTTGTCAGTGGTTTCCACTCAGATAATTTAAAATTCTATAAAAATAAATATTAGTTAGAATATTAAAGAAATAGAAAAAGTATTAATTTTCACATATATACTTAATTTGGAAGCCAATATTGAGAATATTTGTCAAAAATTCCAAAATCGTCCTAAAAAGCTGAAGCACATCTAACGCTTTGCATTTACTAAACATATGATCGTGTGACGAATTTCAGCACTTCCGATTCCGGTTTAATAAAATATAATAACATTATTTATTAAGTGTTTAAATATTTATAAAATAAATATTATATTATAGCGATCACATTATAAAATTCAAATAATATTTAATATGATTTGTGATTAGTGATTATATTTGAAAAGTTATTACCTACTTGACTTACTTGTTCCCTAAACGGAATATCTAAATGTCATAACAAAGTGTCAATGTCATGTTTATAGTCCGTCGGAACTTGTTTTGTTTCTGTTTCAATTCTTATTTGAAATTGTTTTATTGTAAAATAATAATTGTAAACAGTTTATTTGTCAATTTTTAATATCAAAAAATTGTATAAATTATTAGATGACTTTCTACTGAACTCAGAGAAATAACAACATTTGTAGAATAAAATATTCAGATTATGTCATTACAAAATTTATTTACTCAATAACAATATAATAATAATTTAGGTAGGAAGAGTAAAGAAATAAATTAAGAAATCAAATTTGTAATAAACCATGTTATTAAACAGTGCTAGACAAATTGTTACCGCGGCCAAGAAACCATTTTTAAGGTTATACCCATTATAATAATTCATTGGACTTTAATTTAAAATATAATTCATTATAATTCATGATATACTTGTTGTGCAGTGTAGTCCGTCACAAGGCCGCATACGAGGGAGAAGGGAAGACAACAGTGCGCATCCTCAACCAGGACACGGAGCTGGGACTGATGATAGATTCATATTCCACAGTGAGTACACAGTCTGTGAGAGGTACAATGGATGTTTTCCATTGGGTATAAAAACATTAATGTCATTGTGCAGTTTACTACCAGTCTCGAGATCAAATCTGGCAAAAACACCAAACAAAATTTGTGCCCATTTATATTTCTGACTAGCTGTACTCGCGACTTCGTCAGCGTGGAATTAAACTTTATATTTGCTAAATTAAAGAATTTTTCTAAAATAAAATTAGCCTAAGTTACTACTTATAATATCAGCTACCTGCCAATAAAAGTCCCGCCAAAATCGGTCCAGCCATTTCAGAGATTAGCCAGAACAAACAGACAGACAGACAAAAATAGTAAAAAATGTTATTTTGGTGTATGTATATAGTATATAAAAATTTCATGTCACATTGTTTGTCTGCAATGGACTCCTAAACTACTGAACCGATTGCAAATTTGATTTGCACATTGTGTGCAATTTGATCCAACTTGAAAGATAGGATAGCTTACATCTCAATTTATAGTCACAATATTATTTTATTCAAGAAATTTAGATACAGCAATGTGTGGGTATATGCTATATTTTTATAAGTTTTATCTGTTAGAATTAGATCTATATTGTATAAAACCACAGCATCAGTTGTAAAAAAATGTTATGTTCCTAGTGTTTGTATGCCACATGGCCCTACATACAGTTCAAGTACTATTTGATATACATACATTTTACATAATTTTGTTACATTTTTTTTCTTTCAGTATGGCTTCAGGCTAAACAATGGCGTCACAGTATTGGGACCCATGGCAATATTTTCTAAGTATGTATACCATAGAAAAATAAACGTCTAATGCATTCAGAACATCTAAATCCTAATTCATGAGTAGTGCATTGTGTGGAAGTGTGTGGAATGTGTTTGCATATACTTGTCATCTAAATACGATGACAACCTCAGTGGTCTAGCGGTTTAGCACAGCGCTTTACGTGTTCGCGGGTTCGATCCTCGCATGGCACAAATATTTGTATTCATGAGTATTATTGTTTTTATCGGTCTGGGTATTTTCTATGTATAATATGTTTGTAATTATGAAAAAAAATATCTACATACTTGTATCATTTATCTAGTACCCGTAACACAAGCTTTAGCTAGCTTAACTTGGGACTAGATGGCGCTGTGTGAATTGTCCTGCAATTATTATTATTATTATTTGTATGTTTTGTTTTCTCAGCTTTTTTTGCTGGGTTTTTTTTATTATTAAATATTCCTCCTTTTTTTGGGCCATGATAGGAACTGAATTTTTACACAACTTTAAGCTATGTTCAAAAATGTAGGCAGGCATATTTAGCCTACGCTCTTTTTCCTTTTTTTCTACCATGATGTGGACTGCTGAAAAGACACCTTACCTAGACCGACACGCGCGCGCGACGTTCCTAACCTGAAATTAATAATGATACGTGTTGGAGAACATCGAAACCCCAGAGCAATGAAAAAGGTACAACTGTAAGTCAGTTGTCAAGTTGTTCACATGCTTCCACATTTTTGCCCTAACAAGCTATTAATGCATATGAACATTTCACGTTACTGTTTCTGTATATAGTTTTTTGTTCTGTCCATAGGACCGTGCTGTCGTGGCAGGTGCGCGGCTCGTACGAGATCACAGAGGAGTCGTTGCGACTCTTCAAGCTGCTCGAACCCAAAATTGATCTAGTGGTAAGTTATGAAACCAATGTTAAAAATTAAGTCATATATATATATAACTCTTACTTAAAATGTACTGTATTAATGATGTGTATGTAAACCTCTTTTCATATTAAGAAAAATAAAGAAAATATATTCAATATAGTAATAAATTACATAATTCGGACGTTTTTATATACATATTAATTAACCTTTTAATAAATATATTTTTTTGTTGAATTAATAAAATTTAAAATTTTAATGTTCCAACATAATTTATGTTAATTTATATTTGTTGCTGACTGGCCATATAAATTTATATCTCATACTAACTGACCCTGCAAACATTGTTTTGCTATATAAATTAAAATCACTTTTAAAGTCCTACCATCAACCCCTATTGGGTTGATGGCAGGACAAAAATTTGGTGTGGTGTTTATTTTTAATGCCACATATAAATAAAGATTTTTCCCCAAAAAAATATATTAGCGGTTAACCCTTATCACTTAGGGATATGAAAAATAGATAGTAGACGATTCTCAGACCTACTCAATATGCATATAAAATTTCATAAAAATCGGTCAAGCAATTTCGGAGGAGTATGGTAATTAACATTGTGACACAAGAATTTTATATATAAGAAGATTTAAATTGTATTTGTTACTATTAAGAATTGTATTATATAGAACCTTTATGTAGAATAAAGATTGTGACAGACATCAAGAATATCATTTGCACTTTCATAGTAACGGTCTACTTAAGAAAGCTATAAGTAGCAGGTAGCCAGATGTTTCTGGTTGAAATAGACCTAGACGAATATGCTATACCTAATGTGTTCCAAATTAATGAATGATTTCATGTGTATATTTGTGTAATGTGTGTGTTACAATGATATAATGGTAGATACTGGGCTTGGAGACGAAGGAGCGCGAGCCTCTGAACGCGGTGTACCGTGCGGCGCGCTCGGCCGGACTCAACGTGGAACTGCTGGGTGTCGAGCACGCCTGCTCCACATTCAACTTCCTCAACGCGGAGGGCAGGTCGGTACCAACAAATTATATCACATACTAGCTGTACTAGCGACTTCCTCCGCGTAGAATTTAACTTTATTTTTCTAAAATAAAAGATTTTTAAATTAAAAGTAGTCTAAGTAACTCCTTATTACATCAGCTACCTGCCAAAGAAAATCTCGTTAAAATCGGTGTAACCATTTCAGAGATAAGCCGGAACAAACAGACAGAGAGACAGACAAAAATGGTAAAAAATGATATTTTGGTGTATGTACCGTATTTATATTCATATGCATGTAGTAAAAAACGGTTATTTTAATATTAAAAACAGACTCTCCAATTTTTTTTATATGTATAGGTAATATGGTAAATATATGTGTATTTTTTTCCTTTTTCTTTTTTTTTGCGGGAAAAAAAGAAATTGCTTTTTATGACTTTTATCAATTGCGAAAAAAACATTTGGGTTGTTAATTTTTAATTACGCACGTTGGGGGAGGGCCGTACAATTAATACGGCAGATGCGGCGGTAGCTACGTCCCTGAGTCCAAGCCAGGCCCCTGTTTTCATTTGATGTACCACAGTCTCCATTGGTGTGATGTGTCGCAGGTCTGTGGCTGGTGCGCTGGTCCCGCCGCTGTCGGTGGAGCCCTCACCTGACGACATGCTGCGCGCCAAGCTGCACTACAACAACCTCTACCAGCAGCGGATCACGTAGACCACTCCCACACAAATACTGCACACCCTGTATATAACTATATATATTGTATTACTGTTATTTAGTTAATAAACATCATTGTTAATAACGATCTTTTACTTAATAACTAAAAGCAATAACTGTAATATATACAATAAATATCTTGGGATAATTATAATACTTAACTTAGGCAGGAAAACTTAAAAGGAACTTAGGAAGGAGACCAAAATCGTAGAGTATTAAAGATTTGAGTTGAGTAGCCTTGTGTACGAAGGGCCTTATAGTAAGTGTGTAGTATAAACAAATGACGCACACTCTTCTTCTTAGGTTCGTATACGTCGGCGACGCGACTCGTGTATGAATCTCAATGGATTTCAATAGCGGTAGTCGCTTGGAGAATAAAATCGTAGAATATCGAAAATTTGAGTAGCGTTGTGTACGAAGAGCCTTATACTAAGTGGGTAGTATAAATAAATGACGCACATGAATTAAAATAAACATTGTAATATTTGCAACTTTAACAATAATTACAGTAACCACTAACAATTTATTCACAAAACATAAAGTATATAAAACAAAATAATAATTTATGAATGTCACAGTTTGCAGTTGTTCACATTGCATTTCATAATAATTCGTGTCGCATTCGACGCCCGGAGGGACGCGCCGACTTCCTTCTGTACAAACAAAAGTAAATAAAATATAGCCTATGTGTTAGTCTGATGGATAAGCTATATTAATGTAAAGTTTCATCAAAATTCGTTCAATAGTTTGTGTTTAATAGGTACCTAATTGTAGAGGTCAAACTGATTCTGGCGACACGATAGTTTAGTAATAATAGTCTGTTATCTGTACACATTAATAAAATTTAGTCAAATACATAATACTTATTATTTTTTCCTGGACAATTCTCACAGCGCCATCTAGTTAGCGTTTGTGTATTGAGTACTAGTCGTCAGTGCCGTGATCACACAGACGACTTTAATATCTTAATTTTATATATGTAGAACTAGGTTTGGTCAGTTGGGAAATCGTAATAATTTTTTTCATCTAGATAGACGAAACTTTTTTATGCAATTAATAATTTTAATTAATTATATCTGATTACCTAATTACTGCTTTTTCTAAATATATATAACTCAAAGGTGACTGACATAGTGATCTATCAACGCCAAACAACTGGACGGATCGGGCTGAAATTTGGCATGCAGGTAGATGTTATGACGTAGGCATTCCCTAAGAAAGGATTTTGATAAATTCCACCCCTAAGGGGATAAATTAACGCGGGCTAAATTAAGCGAAGCCGCGGGCAAAAGCTGGTCTTATTATAAAAATGAAACACCGCTGAATCTAGGAAACTGTATTAAACAAAATTACAAGTAGAGCCATCTAGCGAAAAAAACACTGAATTATTCCCGACAATATCAAAATTTATTATTATTATATTGTCATTATTATTAAAGGAATTAGGATTGCAGGTGAAATATTAGGTGGTATCGACTGTCGGCAGTCGACGTTGAAATTACATTGGGTATGTGATTTATATATAAGACGTAGTAAAATATTATTGCTTGTTATTAGAGCGGTTAGAGCGAGCGCGGTTAGTCGAGGGGACAGTGTGCGGCTAGAACATTACCGATAGTAGTCGAGGGGACAGTGTGCGGCTAGAACATTATCGATAGTAGTCGAGGGGACAGTGTGCGGCTAGAACATTATCGATAGTAGTCGAGGGGACAGTGTGCGGCTAGAACATTATCAATAGTAGTCGAGGGGACAGTGTGCGGCTAGAACATTATCAATAGTAGTCGAGGGGACAGTGTGCGGCTAGAACATTACCGGTAGTAGTCGAGGGGACAGTGTGCGGCTAGAACATTACCGGTAGTAGTCGAGGGGACAGTGTGCGGCTAGAACATTATCAATAGTAGTCGAGGGGACAGTGTGCGGGCTAGAACATTAGTGTGCGGCTAGAACATTATCGATAGTAGTCGAGGGGACAGTGTGCGGCTAGAACATTATCGATAGTAGTCGAGGGGACAGTGTGCGGATAGAACATTACCGGTAGTAGTCGAGGGGACAGTGTGCGGCTAGAACATTACCGATAGTAGTCGAGGGGACAGTGTGCGGCCTGAACATTACCTGCAGCAGTCGTGAGGCGGGTGGCGGGTGGCGGGTGTGGGCCTAGAGGAAGTTTGCGCCGACCCCGAACTGCAGCCCCGGCGCGGTGTGGTCCCCGGGGCGGGCCCGCAGCGGCAGGCAGTAGTTGAGCTCGAGGCGCGCGGCGCGTCCGAGGCGCAGCGCCAGCCCCGCGCCCGCCGCCACCCGCGCCTCCGCCAGCGCCTGCCACCCCGCGCCCGCCTCTGCACACGCACCGCACCACTATTATTACCTCCACACCACACGTTCTTTCATGCACGACTTTCTCAGACATGCATAGAAAATGCATGTCTTACACAAAAAGAACGAGAAAGTCCGGAGCGCCGCTCGCTCGTGCGTTTTGCATCTTTAAATTATGCGTGATGATTATTATTTGATTAGTTTACTAATAAAACCTTAAGATTACCAAGCATAAAATTATGTTATGAATAATACCTATTATAATAATCACAGCTTGTCTAAATGAGCCAGTTAACCAACCGCATCTTGTATTAATATGATTTTACTATAACGATGTGCGTATGATTTTATTTGATGACGGTAACGATAATGATGATGTAAATTATGATAATGACATCATCATCATTAACACCGTCGTCATCATTTAATGATGATGATGACGACGTTGTAGTAATGTTATAGTAATATTTTCTATCGATGTGGATGAAACTGATTATCTACTCTAATCCATGTCGACGAAAAATATAAATATTGATTTATATTTTTTGTTGACATACAAAAAATATTTCTAATCTTAAAATGGTAATGGTAAATTATGTTATCTGTGGTAATGGTAAACTAATTTACAAATGTGTTGAAAATATAGTGTAGTATAGTATCTAGTGACATCGAGAAAGTAAACGAGCCGCCGACCTGGCGGTGCGAGGCTGCCGGCGTTGAGGAACAGGTGCGAGCGGAAGAGTCCGGCCACGGGGCTGCGGCCCGACACGAACGGCAGCGGAGCCCACACGTGCAGCGCCCCCGCCCAGTAGGCGCGGCCGCCGGTGGCGACCCGGTGGTGGTGCGGCCCGACCCCCCGCTGCCCGAAGCCCCGCAGCGACGTGGGGCCGCCCAGGAACAGCCGGTCGGGCAGCTCCGTGCCGAACATGTCGTGCAGCACCCCCGCCGCGCACCCCACGCTCACCACCTGCACCCGGACACTTCACATCACCTCGGATACACTCGTTTTATGGATGATAATGGAATACTCACGCCCACGCTAACGATTTACGCTGGCGGGGCACCAGTGGACGATGATAAGATGAGCATGAGGTTAAGTCAGTTAGCACATCGTGACAAATTCACCAGAAATTTATCACGATTGTTTCTAGAAGGAACCGCTTGGAGGTGATCCTGACATAGTACTTTGTTAGCAATAGGATTATTAGTTCATATTACTAACAATCTCCTTTCCTCTAATCATTGGTGGTGATAGGTATCCAAGTCCCTCTTCTTCACTGGACACACTGGGTACGTGCCCAGGGCCCCGTGATAGATTAAGAACCCCTAGTCTAGTTTAGTCCCTACTCCATTACCAAACGATAACCGATAGCTCTATTCTCGCCTGAAAATCAGTCTTAACAAATACTTACTGACTATGATCAATTTGTTCATTCTTATTAATTTTTTAAAATGTCTAGCAAGTACTTGAACCTCTCATCACATTTTTTTCCTGATTTATTTTGAAGGTAGGATATCCTTATATACATCTCTAAAGAATCATGTTCAAAAATGACTTTGTCTGTTGTAACAAAATAGTGCATTATTACTATAGTGATAGGGACAATACCGTTTTTACCATAAGGGCACGGGGCCCTCCCTTCTTAGAGGGCCCCCGAAGGTCCGACAATTTTTCTCACACACTTATTCTCAAAAGATTTTTGTCGGGCACACTACAGTTTTATCAGAAGGTACTTACAAGGCATATACTACGCCGACCTCGCCTTACCTAATGTGTTCTTTTACTTTCCAAAAGGGTCCCGAATTGTTGTGTGGCCAGGGCCCCAGGCTGGTTTACGAGTGGTGTGGGCGTGTGTAGTCGTAGTTACCAGGTGGCGGGTGAGGGGCGCGTGCGCCTGCGCAGTGAGCTCGGTCTTGAGATGCGCGACGCCGCCTCCGAGCCCGGCCAGCGAGCTGGTGAACTGCACGCTGGCGCCGCGCGTCGGGAAGATTGGGTCGTCGCGGTGGTCCACGCCCACCATGTGACGTACCACAGACTTCATCTGCGGACCTGCACCGCCACACGCGCATACTTATATCTATACATCTATACGTGTAGATACAATTGGAGTGTCTGTTTCTAATATTGAAATAACCGTTATTTACTACGTGCATATGAATATAAATACGCCAAAATACCAAAATAGCATTTTTTACAATTTTTGTCTATCTGCCTGTCTGTTTGTTTGTTCCGGCTAATCTTTAAAATAGCTGGACCGATTTTGACGGGATTTTTTTTGGCAGGTAGCTGATGTAGTAAGGAGTAACTTAGACTACTTTTATTTAAAAAATATGGGACACAGTCACCTGGATACATAAAATAGTAATTGCATTCAATATTGTCTACTAGGCACTGCTGTATCTAAACTGTGTCACCCCACCTTACATTTTCCTATTTTTATTTAGTATATAAAATCATTATTTCTATGTACATATTATCAGTTTATCATCATCTGTAAAATACATCGTCTCGACCAGCAACATCTTATTATTTACCCGCAACAAAAAACATAAAGTTAAATTCTACGTCGACAAAGTCCGGGGTACAGCTAATCATAAATAATACACGTATATTTTATTGTGACATAAAAGTAAACAAACTATCTATTTATCTGAGGTACCGATCCTGCAACCTACACGAAAACGGTACCGAATTGATTACAACGAATCCACGATGCAAGTAACACTCACCGCTGCTCTCTCGGACTTTAAAACTGGTTGTTTTACTGAGCACTGAGGTATCCCGCACGAGCCCCTCCCACTGCAGGTTGTGTGTTGTCTGTGGTACAATACATAGTTTAATAAAAACATACAAGCAGACATATTCTTTATGTAAATTGTCAAAAGATTGGGTACAATTGTCTGTTAATATTGTCTCGCCAATCAACAGCAGCAGTGTTGCCAACAGACAATCACAAACACCACGGAAACGCGGATCATCCTCTGCTCAATTTTTCAGGATGTTTGATCAACATGCTCCTCCTCCATCCTCATACATCCTGAAAAAAGATCAACCTTGATGAAAAAGATCAATCTTTTTTAGGGTGTATTTTCTACATTGGTACTGTTCCTTCGTATTTTTTATGGATGATAATAAAACGGTGCACCCAGCTGCGCTAACAGTTTACGGGGCACCAGCGGAGGATGATAAGACGAGTATGAGATCAGGTCGGTTAGCCCGTCGTGACAAATCACCAAGAATTTATCACGTTTTCCAGGGGGTACCGATTGGACGTCACCCTGACATGGTACATTGCTAGCAATAAGATCATCAATCCACACTGCCAACGATCTTCTTTTCTCCCCTGTTATTGCGACAGGTTCGATCATTCTATTACCTGACGCCATTCTATTAGACTCGCGACTTTTACAGCGATTTTTGTTTTTACTTACTGAAATTACAGTTTACATATTATTACACAGAGGCATGGCCAGCGAGGCTAGGAGATCGAGAGGAGTCCTAGAAGGCTGTATTGTTTAATTTTTCTCCCGCCTCGAAGGAAATGAATATCCGGGGCTGGGCATGGCACCTTAGTCCTTCAAATTTTTTAGTACATACATTTGATCAAAGACTGCGTGAACGACATGACGTTCTGAGTGTTCATATATATGTATGTTGGATTCTATTTTCCGCATTTAGTCTACTGTTCATGTACACACTGCAAATTGAACAAACATATGCTTATGCACAACAAAAATCTGCAGATTTTGACAAACTGAAGAGGAAACGCCACTACACATCTTAGTGGTTGTAGCCCACTCATGCATAAACGAAATATCTCCTTTGTAAAGTTTACACTCTTTCCTGAGGAGATAAAAACAATCGCTCCTAAGAATATCTTTCAATTCTCGTCCTTGATGGGTTTAGGTAGTGAACTCTGAAAAAGGGCGAGCACAATAGATCTATGTAGGTGGCAGTGCTACAGGTGCTACAGTCACCTGACAATAGCCCAAACAACCCAATAAAAAAATATTTGGCGACGGTTGCCATTCACCATCAACCCTGAACTTGATTGTTATTAGAGTTATTTAAAAAAAATTACTAACCGCGGGCGAAGTCCTAAACGCGAGGTCGAGCAGCAGGCCGCGGTCGAGCAGCCGGTACCCGGACCACGGGTACTCGTGGTTCTGTTGGTACACTGTTGCCGTGATACTGCACACACACACACAACATTTTTTTCAGAGACTACAGAATGATGAGTGTTTTCAAGAAGGACCATATAACCGTTATATCCCCTACTACCCTGATTTCGGTCTATAAATACGGATGTCGGTATTTGAATAATTCTCCCCTCTGATCGATCCCCAATCCACCTCAAACAGGGATCGATATTACGACGGTGTGGCAGCACACACGATTGGTGTAATACAGCAACGCGATCGCCTTGCTTATAAACCCGGTGCGAGCAGGAGCGCACTCGTATTGCCTTCTCACTCAATTAATAAAATCACCAGTTTGTATAGTATACTAAAAAAATAGTGCTTGTTGGTAGTTTGTATTCACACGTTTCGACTTGTAAATGTAAACTAACAAGGATTATTTAAAAGAGCAACACACAAGTTTCTTGCTCGTTCTTCTTGTGATAAGACAGCTTTCCGAACGAGTGGTAGATAAAAAACAAATTGTTATGACTATTCAAAAGTGCTTAAATTAAGTTTATTTGAATAAATGATTTTCTATTCTATTATATTCTATTCATAATTTTATGCACACAAGTTGTAAATTATTCGAAATAAAGCCATCCACGAATACGACTAAATGAGTGGTTTCACTTCATCCTATACGAGCCACTACAACGGCCTGAGCCGAGGTTTGAACCCCTAGCCGTGCCCTTAGACTAAATTCGTATCCGTCAGGCGGGAGTTGTCCTTCAGCCGCTCCATAAGTCCTTTGGTTTGGAGTGCCATCTGCACTCGCCCCCTATCGTCCAGTGAAGCTGTAAAGGCCAGCTGCGGCCGACAGCATTAGAGTAGTCCGAAAAAAAGAATAATTCTCTTTCTATGTGTAACCGTAACACCTGATGTATCTTAGGAATTTGATAAAAGTGTTTATTATTTATATAATCGTGACGATGAGTCATCCGATATCAATACGCGCTCTTACATACATATGCGTGTGGTGTGGTGTTTAGTATAGTGTATGTACAATGTATACATACACTGGCACGAGCGGCTTCTGCGGGTAGGGCTTGGTGGCGGCCACGCTGAAGTTGGAGGAGCTACGGTAGCCCATACTGTACTCGGCCTGCACGCGCTCCCCGCGGCCCAGCACGTTCGGCATCTTCACACCTGTTCACAGACCACAATACTACCTACTATATCCATGCCCCTCCACGGGGCACATTGTACACGTGTCCAAGGCCCCGCGATGGATTGTGGCCCCCCTGGTCTAGTCTAGGCCCTACTCCATTGCCAAACGATAACCGATAGTTACTCTACTCTCGCCTGAAAATCAGTCTTAACAAATACTTACCGACTATAGTCAATTTATAAATGTCTAGCAAGAACTTGAACTCCTCATCACAAAACGACTTTTTAAAATTATTTTATTTCCTGGTTTGTTCTGAAGGCATGCCCATATTAAGTCATGTTCAAAAAGGACTTTGTCTATTTTAACAAAATAGTGCTTTATTACTATGGTCATAGGGCCCCCATTATTCTAAAGTGCCCAGGATCTCTAATAGGTGAAAGACGGCCGTATATATACATTCTACATTTATTAATACTAGTGGAAATTAGACCATAATTAATCATTACATAGTATAAAACAAAGTCGCTGTCGCTGTCTGTCCGTCCCTATGCTTAAATCTTTAAAACTACGCAACGGATTTTGAAGCGATTTATTTTAATAGATAGAGTGATTCAAGAGGAAGGTTTATATGTATAATATATGTACACCCGGGCGAAGCCGGGGCGAGTAGCCAGTGTTTCAAGTTTTAATAAATAAATAAAATTAATAAATGGCCTGGTGACCTGTATTACAGATTATACCTATTTCAGACACAGCTCCTCACAGCAAATCTATTATAATAATAAATTTAACCATCTTATTGTAAAAGTTACAGCTATTGTTGCCATTATGTTTTTGTGGAGAAATAAATAAATCAAATCAAATATAAGATCTCACCTAGTACTAGGTTTCCTTCGTTTTCGCTGACCGTCGTGTTCACGCCGCCCACTATCCGCGACAGTTCCTTCACTTGGAACGTCACCTGTATATGAAGCACAAAACACAAATAACATTCAATTGGTACTTGATAACGTCACTACAAGAATTTATAAACTACTAGCTGTCCACACTTTCTTTACATTTATTATTTCACCCAATTTCCATAAAATCTTTTTAAATTATAACCTATATATTATTCGAGATGAGTGAAAATGAATGAAAATAGTGAGATGCTTGTATACATATATACATTTATTATATCAGCGCGCATAGACAGAAGTAATAATAAAATAGAAATAGAAATAATCTTTATTCAAATAAACTCATTACAAGCACTTTTGAATAGTCATATTTTGATTCTACCACTCATTCGGAATGCAGATTCATTACAAGAAGAATGAGCAAGAAACTTTTATGTTGCTCTTTTTAATAGATGTTTTTTTATATAAATAATTACAATATAACAAGTAAGAGGCATGCGAAAATAAACATAGAAATCGCTACGCACTCATTATTAGTGTAATCAGATAATATTGTCAGTGCTATGGATTTAAAGTTTTTCTATAAAAACATTATTATCGTTAACGAATTCTTCAATTTTATAGTAAGCTTTTTTGGAAAGGAACTGTTTTATTTGACATTTAAATCTTTTTTCTGGCAGATTTATAACAGACTCTGGTATTTTGTTGTAAAACCTTACGCAATTGCCATAAAACGAATTACTAACTTTAGTTAAACGACATTTAGGTAAAAACAATTGTATAAAAAGAACATCTTATTTTAAATGGAGTAATACAATAATGCACGTGTACACAGAAGATATGAAAAGGAGAAGAGGAAGACCGTACAGAAGATGGTTAGATGATAGATGATAACAAAGTGGTGGCAGCTGGTACTTGGGCAAGAACTGCTAACAATAGAGACCACTGGAGACAGTTGGAGGAGAGCTATGCTTGTTAACAAACAGATATACATATATGTATAAATGTTAGGAAATGTGAAATTTTAAACAGTTAATATCTGAATAAATGCTTCATTATTATTATTATTTTAAATATGGATAAACGAATATAAAAACTGCCAGTGACTGTCATTGTAGATCTAACATGATGTATAAGCTATATTACTGTAGAGTTTCACCAAAATCCATTCAGTAGTTATTGCGTGAAAGAGTAACAAACATCCATCCATACAAATGTAAATGGCGCTATAAGATATTTTTGGTTCTAATGACCTCTCTGTAGTCCTTTTTTTTTAATTTAAAACCTGTATCGTCCTTATTGAATGGTAGTTTCAATAGCTTTTTGACCCCTAGTTGTTCAACAAGGGTGACACGGGCCGACTTTTAAGAAACCTTAATATGTTCTTGAAAAGCCTCATGCAGTAGTCTCTTCCATACGAACGAACTTTCGCGTTTATAATATTAGTAATATGTGAATGATGGGCATGTAATGCGTAGGAATGAAGATCATATCCTAAGGACGGTGTTACATATGAATGTGGATGGTTATAAGGGTAGAGGAAGACCGAAAAAGAGATGGATGGACTGTGTGAAAGATGATATGGTGAGAAAGGGAGTAAATAACGGAATGACTGCGAACAGAGATGAATGGAAGAGAAAAACATATTACGCCGACCCCAAATAAATGGGATAAGGAAGAAGCAGATGATGATGATGATGTGAATGATTAATAGGTCTATGTTATTTAACATTTTCTGAAAAATCTATAATCGTTATAAAAATAATAATACCTTTCGATAAATAAGAGTCAGAGTTTAGGATATCAACTTGAAAAAGTAAAGTAACAGAGCAACAAGCAAGTTCCTTGCTCGTTCTTCTTATAATGGGGCAGCGTTCAGAATGAGCGGTAATATAGAAATGTCTATTCAAAAGTGCTGTAATTGAAGTTCATTTTAATAAAGAATTTACAATTTTTATCCGATTTTTTTTTGTAATGAATAAATTGAAAAAAATACTTCCCATCCAGTATAGGAAACGAATTTATTGGCAAGTAACATGAGCTGGGTATTGGCATTAACAAATTTGCACGTTAGAAGCACTACGAAGACCTACAATTAAATTTGCATGAAAACTTGCAAAAATAGAATAACTTTGTGCTTATGCAAAGTGTATGTTTTTTATACCAATTGTGGCAGTCAACCATACTGCCCATCTGGTGGTAAACGGTCACTATAGCCTACGTCGTAGGACTACTACGTATGTAGGACGTCTGCTACAACAAGAGTGTCACGTCCCAACTCTTAAGAAACCTTAATAAGTCCTTGAAAAGCCTCATGCTGTAGTTTCTAGAGAAAACCTCGGCAGGTTCATTCCACATATTGGCACACGAGTATTTCAAATAACTTTTGTCACCTCGAGACCCTCGGGCGTGGCGCCGGGTCCGGACGAGACGTCGATGTGTACTCCAATGTCACGGAAGCACCCCATCGAGTCCAGAGCGCGGCGGACCTACAACATATTAAATTCAAAATCATTTATTCATGTAGGACATTTTAGCCGCTTATGAACTTCAAATGTTTACATTAAAATTTTAATTTTTTCCCTACCGTCCTGTTCCGTATATAGATCCAATTGAAAAGAACTGGTAAGAAACTCAATTGAATTATTTTTTTTAAAAGCCAGTTTATTAATAATGTATATTTATATAGGTGTCTATGTCTAATATTAAATGAAAATCCCGTGCATGTACAACTATTGCGATGCACGCTCGTCATTCAAGTAATCGTTTAGTGAGGCTTTGCTCAATAAATATGATTTAACAGATATGTTGAATTTATTTAAGGGTAATTCCAATATATCCTTTGGTATATTATTGTATATTTTTGTACCTATTCTCATAAAAGACCTATTGACTTTTTTTAAGCAATACTTAGAGACATCTTAGTAGAATATAAAATCTAAAGTTATATGGAAAGATCCACCTGGCTGTAACAAATGTAATGATAACTGCCGCTAGTATACAGCAGGGATGTCGCGAATACGCAAATGCGGAATTTCCACATTAATTTAGACATCCGCAACCACTTACGCATCCGCAATAATCGATGCGGAGTTGCATGCGGATGTCGCACGAGTTGCTACAAGAAAATATTTGATAGTCTCTTTGATGTAATATTTTTTTATAATTTCTTTTTAATCATCTTATTATAAATCTGGGACATCTTTTTAACATCATAAAGAACATCTATTCAAAAGTGTTAAGTTTATTTATGACTAGCTTTTGCCCGCGGCTTCGCTCGTGTTAATTTATCCCCTTAGGGGTGGAATTTATCAAAATCCTTTCTTAGGGGATGCCTACGTCATAACATCTACTTGCATGCCAAATTTCAGCACGATCCGTCCAGTGGTTTGGACTGTGCGTTGATAGATCACTATGTCAGTCAACTTTGAGTTATATATATTTAGAGAAGGATGTACATTATATCTATTATAGCGTATACAATTTACATAAATAAACACAATACCTTGTGAGCCTTCAGTATGACATCCTCAAAGTCTGTGGCGTGGAACAGCTCGTCCACTGTGCTCTTTATGACGTCATCTTTCGTTCTGTTTAAGCCATCCACGTGCACGCGGTCTACACGTGCCTGGATACAGAAAAAATGTATAGACACAAACAAATGCCAACACAGGATATGGGCAATCTTAAAATGATGCACATGAAATCAGATTAAAAATTAAGTGATTGAGATATATATATTCATTGAGATATATATATATATATATATAGGGAAGAGAAAACTGGCCTATAATGTTTGACATACTTAATTTTATGCAATTGTCAGCAAAAGGGACAGTGTAGACAACAAGTTTTTTTAATACAGAACTACAGATAATAATAATATTATATTGTTGTGGACTCATACAATATGGGTACTGTAGCATATGCAATTCACAAACTAGAGTAGAAACATAACTCACACAATTCTGACTGACTTTTAACAATTATTATTTCTAACTGACAAGTTGATTTGGACTAATCACATATTATTGTTATGTTCACTTTATAATAACAGAAACAGTAATAGCTATTTTCTCAGATTGCTGTACCATCATCATCATCTGCTTCTTTATCCTATCTATCGGGGTCGGCGTAATATCAGATTGCTGTACCATTTCGGTATTTTTTCTGGGTTTTCTTTCAATAATGCAGGCAGAATCTTTGTGTGCAGTCAGTCATAGACACACTGTACTAGGTTTCCAGATAAATAAAGTTTTTTTATTCTTCCATAAATTGGTCATTCAATTCTGATTTATATCTAATCAGAAAGCATAATATATCATCGATTAAATAGGAAAATGACATTTTTCAAAATTAGAAGCTAGAATTGCCTCCTTTTATATAAGTCAATTAAATTTATCATTATATAAATACTTTTAAAATGATTTATAACACTTCTGTGTAAAACTCTAAAGGAAAAAATAATTTAAATAAATTTAAGAAACTTTAAATGCTTGTCTCGTAAATAATGTACATTTTGAATACTGACATTTTTCTATTTAACGGATGATATGTTATATTATGATGGTAATAACAATGTTCACATACCCGAACACCACCTAATTTGATGGCAGGCTTTGGTATTGGGTCCTCGTCCAGCTCAATGGGCTCCTCAAATTCAAATAACCCACCACCCACCTCCTTCTCGCCATGCTCTGCCTGGAAGTGCATATATATATGTTGGTATTATTTGAGTAGCCATGCTCACTAAAATGTCCAGACATGTGACGGCATCATCTTGATTTATCCATTTTTTATTAATTAAATAATTCCATTTTCAAGAATTGTGTGTGAATACAAACTGCCAAATAGCAAAGTTGGCATTAAATAAATAATTATTTGAGTAACAAAATAAATCAAGATATACTTAATAGATATAATATATCTTGATTTATTTTCTATTTAAAAAAGCAACACACAAGTTTATTTCTGTATGAGCAGAAAAATAAAAAATATATCTATTCAAAAGTGTTTATATTAAGTTTATTTGCATAAAGATTGTTTCTATTCCTATGTATGAATATAATAACATGCACAATGGACCAGATGAGAGGTTAAAAGTAGAGAATAGAGAAGAGTTTATGTATGTATTACTATCCACCACACAAATGTGACAAGCAGCAAGTGTGACATATTATGATATTCATAGTGATTACCATAATTTTCCATAATTTCATCATTTACTGATCCTTCACTGGTGTGTACCATTGGTGCAAACATGAACACCTTGCCATTAAAAAATAATCCAATGAATAAAATTACGGTTTTCGCGCCTTATTGAAATGTATATTATACTCAAAGTCATAATACTTATTGTTTCTGTTGATCTTATCAGCTGTTTAGATAAGCCAGATAATTAAAATGATTTGAATTAATATTTTAATTTAATCAGATATACCAATTATAAAATTTAGTATCATTTAATTTTCATATAGTCATAACAGTAACTTTATATTTCTTTATTAATTTAATTATTAAAAATCTCACAATATAACCTTTTTTATTAAAAGTAAAATATAAATGTATATACATAATACCTTTGCATAAACGGTACCCATTGTGGTCACTTAACTATAACTTTGTACTAAATTGTAAAATTATAAATTTATAATTAATAATTTAGAATTTCTATTTTGAATTACATAAATAAAATTATGAATGAATGAATGACGGATGACGGGCGAAGGCGGGGTGGGACAGAGGGGGACGGGAGTACACAGAACATGGCAACATTTTTTAGCAGAGAATGTCCAAATCTTTGAAATAAAATTGTATAGATTTTTTTTCTAAATGCTCGAATATAGTAAAAAATAATACATTCTATAATTATTACAAATAATTAAAATATAAAGAGTTTTCTGATCATTCCACAATTAGTTTATCACGATAACATTATGTTTTAAGATGTAACGAAACGTACAAACTAAATGTCATTCATGTACTGACTATCTCATTTTTTGTTAAAGAAAAATCATCCTTATGTTGTCCACAGTGGATTACAATTTACTCGCATATTATTTACCGTGAACTGTAAACAAATAGTATTAATTTCTGCTGTTCTGAATTGAATCACATTTCTGTTGCGAATCTAATTAAACTTTTCAATAAATATGAATCAAAAGGCAATATTTAACTTTTGCAAAGACATAGGGTGTTGTGACCGGTGTTGCTTTCGATATTTGGGATTAAAAATACCAAGCGCGTATGAAAATTCCGACCAATATGTGTTGAAAGTAAGTTTTCGTTATTTAAATATTTCTTACTGTTCGTAGGTTATATCAAAACAAATTATTTCTTAACTTATTATTCTGACTTCACATTATTATTTCATATTTAACATATTAAGACATGTAGCGGTTCTAAAAGTGTATTATAACCTCAACTTTTAAATTTAAATCAAGTAATAATGTTATTAGAAATTATCCTGTATAATAAATTCTACATCACTAAATAAAATCTTTTTGAGCTGGTATATAGATGAAGACACCTATATTTTCGTATTCATTCATTCATAATTTAAGAGCTGTGCTCTTGTCGGTGGAGCTCCCGCCACCTTCCACGATCTTCTATCAGTCCCTTTAGCTGTTGATACGACACGACTCCAAGTTTTTCTTTAATTTGCTTGATATAGCTGTGTATATTTGTATAATTACGCAAAAATAATAAATAATTACAAGTCAATCCATATTGGATGCTTCATTTTGCTACAGAAATGTTATTAGAAGCCGGTTAAACTGGTCATAATCCACTTGATAGAAAGCTCAACACCAGGCCCCTCTTCCCCACTGGGCATGTGTCTATGGCACCACAATGATTTGTGGCCCCCTAGTTTAGTCTAGTCCATACTCCATTACCAAATGATAACCGATAGCTGAAAATCAGTCTTAACACATGCTTACAGACTATGGTGAATTGATTATCTTTTTTTTAAAAATATCTACCAAGACCTTGAATCCCTCACATAACAACATTTTAATATTATCTTTGCCTGGTTTGTTTTGAAGGTAGGCTGTCCCCATATACATATCTAAAGAGTCATGTTTAAAAATGACTTTGTCTATTTTAACAAAATAGTACTTTATTACTATGGTCATAGGGGACCCATTATCCTAATGTGCCCAAGGCCTCTAATAGGTGAAAGACGGCTCTGCTCAACACAGCAGAATTCTGAATAGAGATTAGTGATTGTCACCTTGTAAGAAGAGATAAACATGCTACATATATTTTACTAATTAATTTGTTTCAGTTTCAAGATTCACTCTCATCAAATACTACAGAAGAAAGCACAGAATTAAAGAAAGATGTCACAGCTAGCAATGATGAAGTTGCCATTATAAATAATGTTACAGAATTAGGTGAGACACCGGCAGTGTGTACACACACACAGGATGATATTATAGACAATACTGACACAGATACTGTACATGATGATAATGTAGCAGACAGCAATGGTCATGCACCTCATAAGAAACGGAAGCTACATCCCTGTGTCAGCTGCCTTGGCATACTGCAAGAGGATACATGGCCTGATAGTAATCGGATGGTGAAGGAAATACTGGAGAAGAAAAGGTGATGAGAATATTTTTATGTTTTACTGGTAGCTTGGCATGAGATGAGATGGTGCTGTTTAATTGTCCTAGGTTAATATTATTGATTTATTCTTTTGCATACAAAAATGTTAGTCTATAATTTTTTTTTAATTATATATATATTTTTTTTTTCCGGAACAGGACAGGACTACTGTTACTGCTGTAAATTTGTAATATTAAGAGTAAAAAAGGCTTTTAAATTTAAATTGTATACATGGCGGACTTAATGCCTGATGGATTAGTTATCATTATAACTTCTTCTTCACAAACCATTTCAGTGATATATGTTTCTAATATCTATCTAAAAGTCCCATTGAATATATTACTAATCTTAATTGTTACATTTCAACAATATCCACTCAAATTTAAAAGAATGAGCTATATGCTTACCATACATTAACTTGTACAAGAGATTGGGTTTACTACCCAATCTATTACTAAGCTTGTTGACTTAAGAACTGTGAATATTGAGATGTAGCTGTGAACTTCAGGATAAGGATGCATAGTAATTTACTTCTCAGGAGTGGCAAAGTATGATAAAATATTCTGTGATGTTTGTGGTAGGAGTCACAGAACAAAAACCTCGTTGTTCTGTGGTATCCGGCTCGAAGGACCGTAAAAATGTCTGAGCCTGGTGTACAGAAATAGTCTGGATGCTATGATGTTTGATGTATAAATGATAAATTTCGGAATGCTTTCTAATTTGATTGACTGAATACATGATGAAGGGAAAATAGTGTGTATGGATTTGAAACAGAGCAAAATACTTCCAACTGTATGGTGACTTACCATTTATGTAAATGGGCAACAGTTACTGTATGAGTCTGCTGAGACCCACACAATCTGGATGCTATGATGTATAAATGATAAGTCCGGGCTTTGAGTACACGATGATTGAGTCACACTCAATCATCGTGTACTGATGCATGCTTGTGAGTATTTGGTGTACTGAGGGGAAAATGGTATTTGTGGACGTTATATGGACGCGGAGCGGTGTAAAATGCTGACGGTTGTATGATGACGTATACAGTTACCATATACCATCAGATAGTGACTATGGGCAGGGCACATAGCTAGTAGGACAGATGGCCGTTGGGGCAATAAAGTCCTCTAGTGGTGACCGCGGACCGGAAGACGCAGCGTGGGAAGACCTCCAGCAAGGTGGACCGACGATCTGGTCAAGATCGCTGGAAGGCGATGGATGCGAGCAGCGCAGGACCGATCGTCGTGAAGATCTTCGGGGGAGGCCTTGTTCAGCAGTGGACGTCTTCCGGGCTGAGATGATGATATGACTCGAGTTAGCATAGTAACATAATGTGTACATGTTCTAGGTATGAGTGCCCCACGTTTGCGTGCGCGCTGTCAGCCCCCATCGCCACCCTAGTCCGCGAGCGAGTCATCACGGTCCTCATTGCAGAGATCTTCCCCGAATATGACCCTGGTGAGTATTTGAGGATAAAATAAATTGCTATTTTCAACTTGAATAACAGATTCGGTTCAGAGGAGTTTGCTTCCGCGTACACTTTAAGCCCAATTTACACTCAGCCCGAGTAGGCATAGAAGTGAGCAGAGCGAAAGTGTAAACACGATACGTCCCATGCCATCGGTATGGTATGGTATGGTATGTTAGACTCCATTCTCCGCAATTAGCCTCACATTCGGGCCGTTGTGCGTGTAGAGCCAGACTACTAACGTAGCCAGCCAAGCTCCTCCCAAAAGCGCAGAAGACTCCTGGTGTCTTCGCAGGCTTCACGGAGCGACCTCACCGTTCCGAGGATTTGTTTTCGTTGTTCGGCCACTGCCGTGCACTCCAGGATTACGTGAGCCGCCGTTTCTTCAGCTTCAAAGCAGCCCCGACAGAGGGGGCTGTCTGTAGCATCAATTTTGTATAAGTGTTTGTTTAAGGAACAATGGCCCGTTATTGTCCCTATCATTATTTTTAGGTTTTGTCTATCTAGATTAAGTAGACGTGTTGTTAACCGATGGTTCGTTTTTGGAATTGCCACTTTAGATTGTTTGCAATCAGTGGTTAGGTTCCATCTGTGGTTTTGTATTTCGGTGGATCTCTGGCGAATCCAGGTGCGAAATTGCGAGAATGGTATTGGCATGAGCGGGAGGGGGCCTGCAACCACCATGCCGGATCCTACTCTCGCTAGTTCGTCCGCGGCGTCATTGCCATATGATCCGCTGTGCCCCTTTATCCACTGGATAATTACTCCGTTATGCGTTGCAATTTTTTCCAGGGCGATGTGGCACTCGATTATTAGTTTGTTGTTGTTTGTTGTTGGATTGGAAATCCCATGCCATCGGTGCTGCCACTCGCGCTGCCCGACGCTCCCTCGATTGTCGGTTTTTCGTGCGCGAGTCAAAGGACTGGCAGCGCTAGTGGCAGCGTGTGTTTACATTTAGCCTTCTCGCTCAGTTGTCGCCCGGCGTTTTAAGCGGAAGGTAAGGAAGAGTCGCCCGGTAAATAAGTATGAGGGCTGAGTGTAAACGACACTCATTCGCATCGACTCTCGTCGACGCAGACGCGGCGATATTACGGGAGCGGCTGAATGTAAACGTAACATTAGATTATGGAATGCATTTTCTGTTGAGGTTTTCACTATTAGAGACTACAGCATAGGAGTTTCCAAGGAGGATACATTATGGTTTCTTAAGGTTAGACTACGCGCACGTGTCAACCCTGAGTCCATAGCCTACAGTTTACCTAAGTTTACCTTACCTAGAGGGGCCTATATGTATGTTTGATTGTGACAAATGTAGAGTAACAAAATATGTGTGAGTGAGTACATGAGGGTGCGTGTGCAGATGCGCTGACAGCACTGAAGGAGGCGTGGAAGTGGTCGTGCGGCACACAGCTGGCTGCACACGCCGGCCTGCGGCTGCACTCGGGGGCCGTGTCGCCGCTGCTACTCAGCCTCACCTACGAGTACCCGGACGAGCTGCAGGTACCACACACGCACACACGCACGCCTGCACGCATGCACGCACGCACGCACGCACGCAGGTACGGACGCTTACGCGCGCGCACGCACGCACGCATGCACTTACGGACGTTTGCGCGCGCGCACGCATGTACGGACGGTTCCCCGCGCGCGTCAATCTGCGGCTACATTCGAGCGGGCGGCAAAATTTTAGTGTCATATAGCTAATTTAAAGAGGAACGTTATAGGTTATTTAACAACATTCGCAACCGCTTATTGGCCTTAAGAAATGATGAAGACTAAGTTACGCCTATCACTTAGTGAGTGAATTCTTTCTCAGGAACTGGAGATGCTAAAGACGGTGGCGCCGGCGGTGTTCGCGTCGCGCAAACAGCAGCGGAAACGGTTCGCGGTGGAGTTCACGAGGCGCGCCGCGGAGCAAGCACTAGCGGAGGCCACCGCGGGGGGCCTGCGTGCTGCCGGCTGGGCGCCGCCGCCGCCGCCCCCCGCGCCCGCCACCGCCGCCCGCGCCGCCGCCGCGCGCGCGCCGCTCCACCTCGGAGGCAGGTACTGTGTACTGTGTACTGTGTACTGTGTACTGTGTACTGTGTACTGCCGGCTGGGCGCCGCCGCCGCCGCCCGCCGCGCCCGCCACCGCCGCCCGCGCCGCCGCCGCGCGCGCGCCGCTCCACCTCGGAGGCAGGTACTGTGTACTGTGTACTGTGTACTGTGTACTGTGTACTGCCGGCTGGGCGCCGCCGCCGCCGCCCGCCGCGCCCGCCACCGCCGCCCGCGCCGCCGCCGCGCGCGCGCCGCTCCACCTCGGAGGCAGGTACTGTGTACTGTGTTTACTGTGTACTGTGTACTGTGTACTGTGTACTGCCGGCTGGGCGCCGCCGCCGCCGCCCGCCGCGCCCGCCACCGCCGCCCGCGCCGCCGCCGCGCGCGCGCCGCTCCACCTCGGAGGCAGGTACTGTGTACTGTGTACTGTGTACTGTGTACTGCCGGCTGGGCGCCGCCGCCGCCGCCCGCCGCGCCCGCCACCGCCGCCCGCGCCGCCGCCGCGCGCGCGCCGCTCCACCTCGGAGGCAGGTACTGTGTACTGTGTACTGTGTACTGTGTACTGTGTACTGCCGGCTGGGCGCCGCCGCCGCCGCCCGCCGCGCCCGCCACCGCCGCCCGCGCCGCCGCCGCGCGCGCGCCGCTCCACCTCGGAGGCAGGTACTGTGTACTGTGTACTGTGTACTGTGTACTGTGTACTGCCGGCTGGGCGCCGCCGCCGCCGCCCGCCGCGCCCGCCACCGCCGCCCGCGCCGCCGCCGCGCGCGCCGCTCCACCTCGGAGGCAGGTACTGTGTACTGTGTACTGTGTACTGTGTACTGTGTACTGTGTACTGCCGGCTGGGCGCCGCCGCCGCCGCCCGCCGCGCCCGCCACCGCCGCCCGCGCCGCCGCCGCGCGCGCGCCGCTCCACCTCGGAGGCAGGTACTGTGTACTGTGTACTGTGTACTGTGTACTGACCTCGGCCGTCGTAATTACAATCCCCGTTTGAATTGGACGGGGGATCGATCGGAGGGAACTCATCAATATAAATGTTTTTATTGTGTGAGAATCGAACCCGCGACCATCGGCAGTAAAATGGTATGGTAACCACTGGACTACCGATATCGTTACATCTAAACCTGAACCGTTGCTTATGGTTATTTTAGTACCTAAACCAATTTTTTTTATCACTATTTGAGATAGATATATATGCGCAGTGAATTATGATAACCTCCAGATACTATTATCAGAAGGTAATGACCGTGTTTGTATTAGTACAAACATGAATAGTCAACATATCAAGTATACATATATTTAACATTATTTTTCCAAAATAAAAGTAGCCTAAGTTACTCCTTATTACATCAGCTACCTGCCAAAAAAAAGTCCCATCAAAATCGGTCCAGAGATTTCAGAGATTAGCCGGAACAGACAAACAAATATATAAAAAAATGTTATTTTGGTGTATGTACTGTATTTATATTCATATGCATGTAGTAAAAAACGGTTATTTCAATATTACAAACAGACACTCCAATTTTATTTATATATATAGACTAGAGGGTGCGTGTGTGCGCGGGCCTCAAGAGGCCCGCGAGGCGTTGTCTTTGATTTTTTTTGTGAAGACGGTTTTCTGTTCCATGTACGTATCGTGTACCATCCTGTGGCGAAACATTGTATTGTAATGGTCACAATACAAAACCTAACCTAACCTACCTTTCTGTATACTATATTAGTCTGGGGTCAAAGTTTTTAATGTAGAGATCATAATACGAAACCTAACCTAACCTACCTTTTTGTTTACTATATTATTCTGAGGCCATAATTTCTACTGTAAGAGTCGCAATACAAAACCTAACTTAACCTACCTTTCTGTATACCATTTGGACCTGTGGCTTTAATTTTTATTGCAATGATCACAATATAGAACCTCACATTACCTACCATTCTGTATTAGTATACAGAAATGTATGCTTGGTCATGCCACCTAATTTTGCAAAAAAATCGCATGAAACTATTAAGATGAGATTTATTATAGATCCCCGTCACTCTTATGTTAGAATGTCGAAAAAAAATTCCCACATTTTGGGTTTGCAAAATTACCCAAAAATCGGGGAAAATTTGTAGCCTAGATAATATTTCAAACCGAAATCTGCCATGGCTCAATAAAGGTCGACTCGCTGCAGGGAAGCCAGGTACCCCAAAATATATTCCTAAATTTATCACCAGAGATAAAATACTCAAACTTTTTTTCCTTTTTGAATATTTTTAACTTATCCACTTTGGTGACAGAAACATTTTGTCCATACATTGTACATTGTACATAGCTAAGGTGACTCCTTCTAGTAGTTCCTTAGTACTGTTTACTATGAAAATTAGTTAATACTTCGCACCGAGAGTTTCCATTCCTCAATACAAGTCAATTCGTTGCAGGGATGATAGGTGCCACAAAACTGAATTTTAAAAAGTTCTTATAACTGTCATCATAGATCCTAATTCGGCCGCCATCTTGGATTTTTCCTTTTTAAATACCTTTAACACATACATTTTGGTGACAGAAACACTTCATGTATACATTGTACAGAGCCCATGTTACACTTAGTAGTTCTTGAGTACGGTTTACTATGAAAATCGAGTTATGGTGTTGCCAGCTGATTTTGACAAAAACCACCTAGGACCCTTTGGGGGATGATTTTGGACCAACGGTCATAACTGTTTTGTTCAACTTAACGAAAAAAAATTTCCCACGTTTTTTAATTTTTCTCCGAAACTACCCCAAAATCGGGGAATTTTTTAGACCAGGTAATATTTCCCATCGAGAGTTCCCACTGCTCCATAAAAGTCAACTGTCAGTCGCTGCAAAGATTAATGGTACCCCAAAATTGAATTTTTAAAAGTCCCTAAAAATGTCAACATAAATTAAGTACCGTAACTCGGCCGCCATCTTAGATTTTTACTTTTTAATACTTTTGACATATTCACCCTAGTGACAGAAACATTTCGTTCATACATTGTATAGAGCCTCGGTGACTCCTTCTAGTACTATTCTCTAAGAAAACTGATGTAAGGTGTTGCCAGATAATTCTGACAAAAACCACCTAAAATCAATAAAGGGATTGTTTTTGACAGATTTTCATCATTCTTTTGTTTGAAATGTCCAAAAAATATTTTCCCACTTTTTGGGACCTATCTCAAAAAATACCCTAAATTCGGGGAAATTTTTTATACCAGGTAATACTTTGTGTTGAGATACATCATCTCTCCATAGAACTCGACCGGCTGTGGGGTTGCCAAGTGTCCTAAAACTACATTTAAAAATATCTCAAATTTTCTCCGAAAAGCAAAACTCCCCTATCTCTGCCGCCATTTTGGATTTTTACTTCTTAATAGTTTTGACGTATTCACCTTAGTAACAGAAACATTTCGTCCATACATTATGTAGAGCCTCGGTGACTTCTTCTTGTACTATTCCCTAAGAAAACTGATCTGCGGTGTTGCCAGATAATTCTGACAAAAACCACCAAAAATCCTTAAGGGGATGACTTTTGACAGATTTTCATCAATCTTTTGTTTGAAATGTCGAAAAAAAATTTTCCCACTTTTTAGGACCTGTCTCAAAAAATACCCCAAAATCGGGGAAAATTTTCATACCAGGTAATACTTTGTGTCAAGAGACATCATCTCTCCGTAGAAGTCGACTCGCTGCGGTGTTGCCATGTGTCCTAAAACAACATTTAAAAATGTCCCAAATTTTCTCCGAAAAGCAAAACTCCCCTATCTGTGCCGCCATCTTGGATTTCTAAAATTTCATAATTTTCCCTAGAGGCCGGGTTCTTCGGCTATCCGACGCCGCACAGTGCGTTGAGCTAGCATACTCGTAGGTACCCTATCAATTTCAGTTTTTGAAGCTAGACCTCAATTTCAAAATTTGTCCCATGATGTATGGGTGTTGCCAGCAAATTCTGAAAAAATCCACCTAAAACCCTTCAGGGGACGATTTGTAGTAGACCAAAAAGAGTTCTTCATTTAAAATGTCAAAAAAAAAAATTTCCCACTTTATGGGACTTTTTTCCAAAATTAACCCAAAATCGGGGAAAAATTTTAGGCCTGGCAAATCTTCTTACTGAGACTTACCCATGTCAGTAGGTGGCGTTTAGCTACGGGGTTGCCATGTGCAGCAAAAACGCGATTGAAAATATCCCAAAATTTTTCCAAAAACTAAATCTCCCATAGCTTGGCCGCCATCTTGGATTTCTGAAATTTCATAATTTTCCCTAGAGTCCGGGTCTTTCAGCCTCCCAACACCCTACAATAGGGATCGGTAGCATCCCCGCTAGTACCCTAGGAATTTCAGTTTTTGGAGAGACACCCCAATTTCAATTTTGGTCAAACCATGTATGGGTGTTGCCAACAAATTTCGACAAAACCCACCTAAAACCCTTTAGGGGATGTTTCTCGATAGGCCTTGATGCCTCTTTTGTCAAAAATGCCGAAAAAATTTTTTCCCACTTTTTGGAACATTTCTCCCAAATTACCCCAAATTCGGGAATTCTTTTTAGCGCTGGCAATACTTCTTACCGAGACCCATCATCGCCCCATAGAAGCCGACTCGCTGCGGGGTTGCCCTGTACCTAAAAAATGACTTTGAAAATAATCCGGATTTTTAGGACCAAATTCACACGGCCCCAACTCGGCGGCCATCTTGGATTTTCGAAATTTCATAATTTTCCCTAGAGGCCGGGTCCTTCGACTTTCCTATGCCCCACAACCGGTGTCGCCTGCACCCCCGCAACTACCCTGGGAATTTCGGTTTTTGAAACCCTCGAAAAATTACAATTTTCATTTTCATTTTCACGCCGCCATCTTGGATTTTATTTTTTTCTTTTAACCTGAAATACAAGCGTTTGCGGCCCGCTACGAACTACCGCTTGAACGAAATCGATCCGATGGAAATTGACAAAGTTCAGTCGCCATCTTGGTCCGCCATCTTGGATTTTCCCAAATTTCGGAATTTTCTCGTGGTCACCCTGGCGAGAGGTACACTTCCCCCATACATCGTCACGACCCCCCGGCACTGCTTCTGGGAGAACAACTATGTCAATCAGTCAGTGACCGTAATGCAGCTTTATATATTATAGATATACATATATATTTGTTTTATTTTATATTTATTTCAGGCTACTAGGCCCATATTATAAAATACCTTATAGACTAAAACACAAATGAAATAAAATTATATAATTAAGATATTGGTGGTCATGGCAATTGCCACGGTGGCGCCGATACACCACACGCCAGTAGTCCTCCTTCTAGAAGGTGGGCTCTCATACTGCTTCTAATATCTGGTGACAATCTGTTCATATTCTGTGTTTTCGCCGTTGAGCTGACTGTCGATTTCCCAATGTTATTATTCCAACACGATGATAGTGTGCTTAGAACATCATCGATTCCGGCTCGAAGGACCATAAAGATGTATGAGTCTGCTGAGACCCACACAATCTGTATCCTATGATGTATAAATGATAAGTCCGGGCTGCTTTCCAACTTGATATATTGAGTACACGAAGATTGAGTGTGGACTGATGGACTGATGCTTGTGAGTATGTGGTGTACTGAAGGGAAAATGGTATGTGTGGGCGTGATACGGACGCGGAGCGGTGTCAAATGCTGACGACTGTACGGTCACGTACCGTACAATTTGTATGGGTTTAGTTCGCATAACACAAGCTCTGCTTAGCTTAGGACTAGATAGTGTTGTGAGAATTTTTATCTCATTTGACCTCTCATTGACCACTAAGTGTACTTTCTTCATACGGATATCGATGCCTGCCGAGGTGGATCAGATCGCTACAATTCCTTCGAAAATGGTCAAACTAATTGTTGGTCAATTAGTGTGTGTGTATCTGCCGGCCGGCCACCGTTTGTGTATATTTCGCTCAGTCACCACGATTGAGTTGAGTTCAGACACAACGTCGTTGTATTTAAATTTCAAAACAATATTCCGCTTCTCGTAAGGCAAACTAAATGCAGCCATAACACAATCAACATTAATGTTGTTTAGGTATATAACAGATACTTTCGGAAACGATGTCGCCGTTAGCGTAGCGGTACGACTGGGTGAAGATGAGTGCCGTGGGCGACGGCGGGCGTGTCGTGGTGTTGTACTGGACGATCACGTTCTCCAAAATATAGTTGGTGGTGTTCCGCACGAACCGGTCCACGTCGATTTCGTAGTGGCGGCGCGGGTGGTGCGGCGGGCGGCGGCCGCGCAGCACGCACGAGTCCTGCGGCAGCAGCGCCAGCACGGTGGTCGGGTGACCGTTGCACGTGGCCAGCAGGCCCACCGTGCTCGCCACGTGGCAGTGCCGCGCGTCCACCGTGGCGTTGTTGATGACCGCCCGCACGCCCAGCGGCGTCAGCGAGCCGTCGTCCACGTGCAACACGTAGTCCCGGATCGGGTTTCCCGGCTCGTCCCTCACCGTCACCACTTTGTATTCGCCCGGGAACATCCGGTACAGTTGCAAAAGTCGGTTCCACCTCCCGTCCAGAAATCCGGGGCACGAGTTCGATAACGTGCTATCCGAACTTTCTGAAGCCACGTGGCTACTGTTAGTGACTAATATGTTGCACGTTGATTTGTACATCACGTTTATTAGGGACCGGGTCCGCGCCGGCGGAGCGCAGTAGTCCCAGGCCCATGACTTCGTTCTGGTGTAGCACCAGTTGTACTTATAACGTTCCTGTACGTGACACACGCCCGCGCACAGCACTCTTCGGTACGTGTACGTCTGCACGTACGGTTTCACGTGACTTTTGTCGCACTTTCCCCAAGATCCGTCGACTGTGTAGCACCAGGTGTACTTGTAGCCGTGGTGGTCGCAGGCGGTGGCGCAGTAAATGCCATGTTTCGTAACGTGCTTGTATTCTATATGCTCGTATTCTGCTATCCTTGCGCTGCAGTAGTCCCAGGATTTGTCGTCGATGGTGTCTCCAGTGTAGCACCACTCGTAGCTGTATCCGTACGTGCCGCATCGGCTGGTGCAATCTGGCGACGTCTGCTTGCGCTGCGCCGTGCGGTACTGCGGTGCGGGTTCGGTGCCGGGTGAGCACTGCGCCGTGTCCCGCCGGTACACGTCCGTATAGCACACGTTATTGATACAGTCGGTTACACATTCTATGCCGTCCACTGTTTTAGACGCTATCCTGTAACTTATCTTCTTGGAATCTAACTTATTTTTGAGCCTTGCAGTGTGGATTGTTGCACTTAGAAACGTTACTACAAATATCACTGAACGCCACAACATTTTGGTGTTCACCGCAGCCAGTGACAATGTACAAGCCTGCTGTTAGCTTGAATTTATTTTATATTAGTATATTAGTGGTATGTATACAATCTCCTCGTCAACTGAGGTTTTTAAAGGCCATATTATGTTATCTAAAATGGTCATAAACGAAGATAAGTTTATTATGTCAACAAACTAGTTTTACCTAAGTGCCGTTTGACGAAAGTTAGTAATTCGCTTTATGGAAATTGCGTAAGGTTTTACAACAAACTGCCAGAGTCTGTACTCGATTTGCCTGAAAAAAGATTCAAATGTCTTATAAAATATTTTCTTTGTAAAAAAGCTTATTATAGAATTGAAGAGTTTATAAATGATAATAATGTTTTGGTAGAAAATATCTAACTTAAAATTCATAGCGCTGACAATGTTTCTATGTTGATTGTCGCATGCCTAATCCTTGTAAATGTAAATCTACTTAAAACAATATTTATTTAAAAAAGCAACACACAAGTTTAATGCTCATTCTTCTTGTGATGAGTCTGCGTTCCGAATGAGCGTAGAATAAAAAAAATGTGACTATTCAATATTTCTTACATTAAGTTTATTTGAATAAAGATTATTTCTATTTCTCAGCGAATTGTTTCTATTTACGACCTCGTTGGTCTAGCGGGCTAGCACACCGCTTTACGACCGATGGTCGCGGGTTCGATTTCTCGCACAGCACAAACATTTGTATTCATGAGTATGATTGTTTGGTTTGGGTATTTTCTATGTATAATATGTGTGTAATTACAAAAAAAAACTAACTTATATGTATCAGGTATCTAGTACCCATAACACAATCTTTAGCTAGCTTAACTTGGGTCTAGATGGCGCTGTGTGAATTGTCCTGAGATTATTTCTATGGTCGTAGACATTTATATAAATCATTTAGGTACTATATCTGTATTTCTCCGTGCAGATTCGAAGATTTCTTACAACTTCAATAACGGATCAAATATATTTTTTTTAATACATGTAAATTTACTAAGTGAACGGTGTGGTTAGGACTGTCGTTGTTAGGTTTGATACTGTATTTATAGTCGGTTTGTTGTATATAAAAGTAACTAGCTTTTGCCTGCGGCTTCGCTCGCGTTAATTTATCCCCTTAGGGGTGGAATTTATCAAAATCCTTTCTTAGGGGATGCCTACATATGAAAACTAGCCAAGTTAGACCTTAGGCTACAGTATATTATCCTAAGTTATAAGAAGAAATGATATTTTATATTGTTATAAATACATTTCAGGACAGACCATTGAACTTGGCACCCATTTAGATCTCATCTCTTTTGTCGTAGAAGTCAACAATCAAGCCATATATCATAATATTAAACTCGGCTATCATTTCACATTTATGTTTTTGATGGGATATCATTACTTTTTGTACATAAATTATACGAGGTACTTATTTATAACTAAATTAATAGCAAATTATTTTTGATAAACTACTGTATTTTCGATGTTTTCGGGGTATATGATATTCGACTATACTCTCAGTTATGTAAGTACAAGTATATTTTAGACAGAACCTAAATTATAGCAACTTGTGTTTACCGCTCAATGCAATATTTGAAGTTTGCTAATTATCGACACTGATGTGAAGGGGTCAACGTAAATTGGTAAAGATCGACGTTTTCATACAATATTACTTTCCGTCCAGTACAAGATGAGCTATTTTTGCCAGGGATCAATGTTCATTGGTGCATATCGACGTTTATATAGAATTTTAGTATTCGACCAATATAAGTTGAAATAGAATCAATTAAAGTAAAAAATTACAATAAAATGATAACAATTTGCCAGTTTCAGATTTTTTCCTTTATATTCACATAATTACCTATCTGCATGCCAAATTTGAACTTCCTAGGTCATCTGGAAGTGGGTTATAATTTTGATCTATAGTTGATCAGTGATAAAAATGACGATATTTGGACGTTAATATCTAAATAACAGTTTGAGATATGTTTATGAAATTTGGAACACATATTTATCTCGCAAGTCTCAATATATGAACCAAATTTGACAGGTTTGTGTGAAAGAGTTTTTGAGTTATGAGGGGGTCAAAAGTAGCTCCAAATGGTTCGTGTAAATATACACACGGTGCTGCTCGCCAGTTCTCTTACTTGAAACTCGGCTTGACACGCTACCACGCGTCTAGATACGATCTAATGCAAAAACATCTTACCATGACGTTGCAACTATACGGTATGACGGTATAACTAGCTGTTTCCCGCTATTTGTCCGTGTAGAATTTAACTTTATTTTTCTAAAATAAAAGTAACCTAAGTTACTCCTTATTCCATCAGATACCTGCCAATAAAAGTCCCATCAAAATCGGTCCAGCCATTTCAGAGATTAGCCGGAACAAACAGTCAGACAAAAATTGTAAAAAATGTTATTTTGGTATATGTACTGTATTTATATTCATATGCATGTACAAAACGGGTATTACAATATTACAAACAGACACTCCAATTTTATTTATATGTATATATGTATAGATGTAACTGAATGATGTTTGTATTGGCAGATACATCAAGTTGTCCCGCGAGCTGCCGCAGACTCCTTGGCTGGTGAACGGCGTCCGGATGATGGAGTCGTCCGTGCAGGAGATAATATTCGGGCCCATCGCGGCCATGTACGGGTCAGTATATCTGTGCAGTTGGTCAGCATTTACTACCTGCAGACAGTTTCCTTGGCTGAAACTATTTGCTGGTACTAGAGAGCGAGTGTTATGGATATTTTTATTTTAATTAGATTTAATTAGTTATTAGAATACATAAAATGCACCGTACGCATCTCTATGGGTTTTTTTTTTCTTTATAATTGTTTATTTTTTCTTTTATCCATTACGTATATAATGTTTTACGATTATTATAATTTTACTTTTTATTATTTAATAATGGCACTAATGACAGGTGCATATGTTGCAATGACACTGTGCATATGCTGAGTGTCAGCCATGTTGCCAACCATATGTAGAAATAATATAAGATGAATTATTGTAATTGTTCTAAGTGTGTATGTATGTATATATGTATATGAGTGTGTGTGCATATGTGTATGTATATATATATGTGTGTGTAAAATGTACATTTGTCAAATGTGTAAATGTAATAATGGTTGTCAATATATGTTTTTCTTTCTTTCTTCTTTTCTTTCTTTCTATTTATATACTTTTTCTCTTGATATTATTATTTTAATTTTAATTGTATAGTATCTGATTTATTAAGTTTATGTATATGTATTTTTTAATTGTAATATATGCGCGTCCGTACTGGGGGCCCAGCTGAAAATCAGCGCTGGAAACTATTTCCAGCATTATGCTGAGTTGTGGTCCACATTGACTCCGTTCTTTAATGTGTAATTTATTCTTGTACTTCTTCTGTTATTACTGTAAAAACGAGTTAATAAAAATTCTATTCTTTTCAGAGGACGTCTTCCGGGCTGAGATGATGATGATGATGATTAGCCAGGTTATGTTTTTAATTACGATTTCATCATGATATTACTTACGTTACATTGGCCGCAGGCTTACCCCCGCGGAGAGCGAGCGGCGGATGAAGTTCATGTCTGCGGGGCGCGAGGACGTGGACGTGCGGTGCCTGGGGGACGGCAGGCCCTTCGCAGTCGAGGTGACCCTCACACGCTACCATTATCTATACATATAACTATACATCTATACATATAAATAAAATTGGAGTGTCGGTTTGTTATATTGAAATAACAGTTTTTTACTTCATACATATGAATAGAAATACGGTACGGTACATACACCAAAATAACATTTTCTACAGTTTTTGTCTGTCTGTCCGTTTGTTCCGGCTAAGCTCTTAAATGGCTGGACCGATTTTGACAGGTAGCTGATGCCGGACTAAGTCGCGGGAACAGCTAGTATATAATATATATAATGTGTGCGAAGGTGACTGATCCTCGGAGGGAGCTGACCCAAGAAGAGTTGAAGCGTGTGTGCGAAGAGATCTCCGCCAGCGGGAAGGTCATTGTACACCAGCTGGTGCACGTCAGCAGGTGAGCCACGCCTTCGGATTTTTGAAGCCGTTCAAATATTACGTAAGGAGATTTATTACAATTATTTACCCCCCCCCACCCTCCCTCCCCCCTCCCCATCCCCCTTATCAGCAAAAGTGAGCAAAGCTCTTACCCCCTCCGCCCATCGTTACGTAAACATTTTTCAATTAATGTATTGTTTTTGAGCAGACAATGTGTGGGTTCCTATTCGTGTAAAAAAGTAAATAACTACCGATGACGTATTCATCATCTAGACTCCACTGCCCCCCTTGTCATCCAGAATAATCAAAGCAAACACCCCCCCCCCCTGTAGTGCTTACGTAATACTTGAACAGCCCCTTTTGAATTCTTCAAGATGCCAAAGGGCCAAAACGCAAAATAACAGAAACTATTATTTTGCCAAAAATGCTTTCTAAATCGTTATAATTTTTATATTAAAAAAAAGACATCCATGATTCACGATCACCCCTAACACATAGATATACCAGATAGATAGATAGATAGATAGATAATAGTTTTTATTTGTATCTTAGTACACACATACAGGCTTAATTACAACTTATAGATTCGTAAAAAAAGTAAGAATATCACAGTGAAAATGTTGATGAGCTCTCCTGTAAAATTTGCCGTTTGCGTCATATGGCCTTTTGTGGCACGATATTACTCATCCGTTGCCATTCCAGAGTACTGAGACGTGATGCTCATTAACCTGTAATTTGACATCTCAGAGAGGAGTTGTCTGAACTGAAGAAGGGCGAGGAGACCAAGTGTAAGACGTACGAGGCGCTCTGCATCAAACTAGGGCACTCCGAATATGAACACGATGTGAGTATACGAACTATTATTAATAACTAGCTGCTAAAGTCCCGTCAGAATTGGTCCAGCCATTTCAGACATTAGCCGGAACAAACAGACAGACTGACAACTGGTGCCCCCGTCTGCGCTAATGGTTTACGCTAGCGGGGCGCCAGTGGAGAGATCAGTACGAAGTCAGGTCAGTTAACCGATCATGGCAAATTCACCAGGAATTTGACATGATGGTTTCCAGGGGGAAGGGGCTATTCAAAAATTACGTAAGCACTATGGAGGGACGAGGGGGTCTTTTGCTTTGCTTATTTTGGATGACACGAGGGGTGGGGACGTAAGCAGATTTATTACAATTATTAACCCCCCATCCCCCTTGTCAGCAAAAGTAAGCAAAGATCTTACCCCCTCTCCTAGGCCTACGTAAATATTTTTCAATTAATGTATTGTTTTTTTTTTAGCAAAGACAAGAGTGAGGGTGCTATTTGTGTAAAAAAGTAAATAATTACCGATCTACCATCCCTTGTCATCCAAAATAAGCAAAGTAAAGACCCCCTCGCCCCCCTATAGTGCATACATAATACTTGAATGGCCCCTAATGAGATATATGAGAATATAATTGCGCGGATGACTTCCGAGTCGCACTTAGACTCGTGAACATTACTGATTATTGATTGTTCGATCGTTTCAAAGAAAACGTCGGCGGACCCTGTGACGGTGACGGCGCAGGACATCGCCAACATCAACTCGTACACGAACACGGACGAGCCGGGCGTGCGCGTGCGCCTCACGCAGCGCACACCCATCCGCGTCCTGCACCGCCGCCCCCTGCTCACCCGCGCCCGGGAGCTGTACGAGCTCACCGCCTCCCCCGTGCACGGCCAGCCCGCGCTGGTGGCGCTGCGCGTGCGCGCATCCGCCGGGACCTATGTCAAGGAGTGGGCGCACGGGGAGCTCGCGCGCACGCGCCCCGCGCTCGGACACGCGCTCAGAGCCCCCCTCGACATCCTCGCGCTCGACGTCGCGCACGTGCACCTCCCCTGGCCCGCCCGCTAGCCTCCCCGCCCCCCACGTCGAGGAGGGGCCGCACGCGCCCCCCTCGACATCCTCGCGCTCGACGTCGCGCACGTGCACCTCCCCTGGCCCGCCCGCTAGCCTCCCCTCCCCCCACGTCGAGGAGGGGCCGCACGCGCCCCCCTCGACATCCTCGCGCTCGACGTCGCGCACGTGCACCTCCCCTGGCCCGCCCGCTAGCCTCCCCGCCCCCCACGTCGAGGAGGGGCCGCACGCGCCCCCCTCGACATCCTCGCGCTCGACGTCGCGCACGTGCACCTCCCCTGGCCCGCCCGCTAGCCTCCCCTCCCCCCACGTCGAGGAGGGGCCGCACGCGCCCCCCTCGACATCCTCGCGCTCGACGTCGCGCACGTGCACCTCCCCTGGCCCGCCCGCTAGCCTCCCCTCCCCCTACGTCGAGGAGGGGCCGCACGCGCCCCCCTCGACATCCTCGCGCTCGACGTCGCGCACGTGCACCTCCCCTGGCCCGCCCGCTAGCCTCCCCTCCCCCCACGTCGAGGAGGGGCCGCACGCGCCCCCCTCGACATCCTCGCGCTCGACGTCGCGCACGTGCACCTCCCCTGGCCCGCCCGCTAGCCTCCCCTCCCCCCACGTCGAGGAGGGGCCGCACGCGCCCCCCTCGACATCCTCGCGCTCGACGTCGCGCACGTGCACCTCCCCTGGCCCGCCCGCTAGCCTCCCCTCCCCCTACGTCGAGGAGGGGCCGCACGCGCCCCCCTCGACATCCTCGCGCTCGACGTCGCGCACGTGCACCTCCCCTGGCCCGCCCGCTAGCCTCCCCTCCCCCCACGTCGAGGAGGGGCCGCACGCGCCCCCTCGACATCCTCGCGCTCGACGTCGCGCACGTGCACCTCCCCTGGCCCGCCCGCTAGCCTCCCCTCCCCCCACGTCGAGGAGGGGCCGCACGCGCCCCCCTCGACATCCTCGCGCTCGACGTCGCGCACGTGCACCTCCCCTGGCCCGCCCGCTAGCCTCCCCTCCCCCTACGTCGAGGAGGGGCCGCACGCGCCCCCCTCGACATCCTCGCGCTCGACGTCGCGCACGTGCACCTCCCCTGGCCCGCCCGCTAGCCTCCCCTCCCCCTACGTCGAGGAGGGGCCGCACGCGCCCCCTCGACATCCTCGCGCTCGACGTCGCGCACGTGCACCTCCCCTGGCCCGCCCGCTAGCCTCCCCTCCCCCCACGTCGAGGAGGGGCCGCACGCGCCCCCTCGACATCCTCGCGCTCGACGTCGCGCACGTGCACCTCCCCTGGCCCGCCCGCTAGCCTCCCCTCCCCCCACGTCGAGGAGGGGCCGCACGCGCCCCCCTCGACATCCTCGCGCTCGACGTCGCGCACGTGCACCTCCCCTGGCCCGCCCGCTAGCCTCCCCTCCCCCCACGTCGAGGAGGGGCCGCACGCGCCCCCCTCGACATCCTCGCGCTCGACGTCGCGCACGTGCACCTCCCCTGGCCCGCCCGCTAGCCTCCCCACCTTCTGACCACTGTCACCCCATTGGGCCCACAAATTGGGCCAGTTGGTCACCGCGTCTCTAGATATCTACCCACAAACAAACAATGCGAACTGACCGAATGGTTTCTTTCGTAATTTCCCATAGTTAACTCTAAGGAGGCCTTAAAATTTTCCCGCAAAGTGCCGCGCGTCTGCAGCGCTGCAGCCGCACTGCTGTCGCTAGGTTTGAGAATATGGGAATCATAGTGCAGTACATAGTTTCACGATGGACTCATCGCTAAATTTTTCAACCTGACTTGCACAAACAAATACGTGCGCGAAGTCACTAGTCGATCGATGTACTGATGCGTGGCCGCAGCGCGGGTGTAGCGCTGCAACAGCATGTTCTTTATTTACGACTAGCTGCACCCACAACTTCGTCCGCGCGGAATTTAACTTTATTTTCTAAAATAAAAGTAGTCTAAGTTACTCCTTATTGTATCAGCTACCTGCCAAAAAAGTCCCGTCAAAATCGGTCCAGCCATTTCAGAGATTAGCCGGAACAGACAGACAGACAAAAATTGTAAAAAATGTTATTTTGTTGTATGTACCGTATTTATATTCATATGCATGTAGTAAAAAACGGTTATTTCAATATTACAAACAGACACTCCAATTTTATTTATATGTAGATTCACAAGGTAGCGTGGCCGCGCTGCAGACGCGTTGCCACTTGCCACGGCATTTTCGGCAAATTTGGAGGCGCCCTTAGAGAAACGAAGTGTAAACACATAATCTTGTATTGTTACTACACATGTTAACATGTCTACGACACTGTAAAACAAGGTAATTACTTTATAAGGACATTTTAACATGTAATGTTATGTTAAAATAAAATAAAACCATGTGACAACATCATCTTCATTGTTTTATTATCGAGTACAAAGCAATATACCCCATCTAAAACCTTAACTGGCTGCCTTTAACCTTTTATCAACATAATCCATCCGGATCTAAGAAACTTAATTAACGGCAGAGAAATGTTATACTATGTATATATGTATAAATGTTATATATGTAGCGCGGTGCTTATCCTCATCACTGTAGCGTTATATATCTTGTGATGACGTGTCGCTACATATTATATTATTTATTGTAGTATGTAGGTAGTGAGTATACCGGTAACATGGTTGCAAGATTTATTGTACATTACTAAGTTTATTGGTAGTGTAAGTTTATTAGTAACGCGCAGTCCACGAGCATTCGGGACGTAGACTGATTTTAAACTTAACTTAAATCTATGTTAGTGGAGACTAAACTAATGGAAGGGTCTCAAGTGTTGACAGATATATTACAAGTGTACGCACATGTATGATTTTACACTTAACTAATGTTAGTGGAGACTGTAGTGTATGTGAAAACACTAGCAGTTTATTATCTATCGTCTCGAGCCGAGCGTACACGGGCCGCCGTGCGCAAGAGGGAAGGGATTCCCTGCGCAAGCGCCGCGGAGTAAAGACGTGGAGCTATGCCTAACGAGCCGATATTACGTCGATAACAACTTACATACAAGAAGACATAAATAACAAATAAGTGAACACTATAGAGACTGAACTAATGGAAGGGTCTCAAGTGTTGACAGAAATATTACAAGTGTAGGCACATGTATGATTTTACACTTAACTAATGTTAGTGGAGACTAAACTAATGGAAGGCTCTCAAGTGTTGACAGAAATTATACAAGTGTAGGCACATGTATAATGAACACAGCTTGCCTTTATATAGCAGCTTAATATAAGTTATAATGGTAAACAAACTAATGATAAATTTAAACCGTTGCTTATACAAATAATAATAATAATCTCAGGACAATTCACACAGCGCCATCTAGACCCAAGATAAGCTAGCTAAAGCTTGTGTTATAGGTACTAGACAACTGATACATATACATAGATTTTTTTTTCGTAAATACATACATATAAATATATACTATGTATATACATAGAAAACACCCACACCGATACAAACAATTATACTCATTAATACAAATGTTAGTGCCATGCGAGGAATCGAACCCGCGATCATCGGATGTAAAGCGGTGTGCTAGACCGCTAGACTACCGAGGATCGCTAACATGAACAGCACTACCGACTATATATAATAACTCATTCTTTGTCATTCCGAAGGACTAAGATATCATTCCTTGTATCCTGTGATTTCACTGCCTTATCTTGACCATTCAACCGAAATTCACTTTATAATGCAATGCCTGGCATCAAACTATGTGTTGTAGTTATATAAGATAGCAATCTGTATGTCAATTTTTGTGTCGAAATTACGCATATGACACAGAACTCTACGTCAAGCCAAAACAGCCTATCTGTTGTATTTTATTATATTTGTACAGGTAAGATAAAGAAAATGATTTGGTATACGGAGAAAAATTTATATTAGTATATACTACTGACATATAACAGTGTAGAGGTTTTGTTCCGACACTTGTTGATAATGATAATTGATAATGTACGGGAATGATAAATAAAAGATAGCAGAAAGCGCTTGATGTTATACACTGATTTATTGTATAGTAATATATGTATAGTGAAATGATATGCTACGTAAGTGATAATATAACTTATAAGTATATGATTATTATGGTACGGTGTTCCGTACAAACAGAATAGAACGAAAGTAACAAACAAGAATCTACAAAAGGAACTATAAATTTTAAATACAAATCTAAATATATTTAACTCAAAGGTGACTGACTGACATAGTGATCTATCAAAGCACAGCCCAAACCACTGGACGGATCGGGCTGAAATTTGGCATGCAGGTAGATATATATATAATTCTACCCCCAAGGGAATGAAAGTTTGTATGAAACTTTGTCAATTTTAAACCGATCGGGCTGAGACATGCAAAATGCATAAAGCTACTATGACGTAGGTAACCCAGGGCAACTAAGGGGATAAATTAACGCGAGCGAAGCCGCGGCCAAAAGCTAGTATAAGTATAAAATACGAGCGTTCCCGAGCAGGTAGATGTCATGACGTAGGCATCCGCTAAGAAAGGATTTTGATTAATTCTACCCCCCCGGGGATAAAATAGGGGATGAAAGTTTGTATGAAACTGTCAATTTTAAACCGATCGGGCTGAGACTTTGCATGCATAAAGCTACTATGACGTAGGCATCCTCTAAGAAAGGATTTAAAAAAATTCCACCCCTATGGGCATAAATGAACACGAGCGAAGCCGCGGGCAAAAGCTAGTTTAGAATATAAAACACATTTCTTATTAACCAGTTACAACACTATCCCATGCAATTTGAAAATTATGGGCATTTAAGAAAAACCTAGAAATTTGGTCAAACTGTAACCATTTTTCGGTTATTGCGGTTAATTTTTATTGTTTTTGTTAATTTAAACTATGGAACCGTAACCCTAAATAACATTTCTAGAACCACAGTCAAAAATAATGACACAATCTATGCATATGTATCAGTTATCTAGTACCCATAACACAAGCTTTAGCTAGCTTAACTTGGGTCTAGATGGCGCTGTGTGAATTGTCCTGAGATTATAAAAAAAAAAAAAAATATATATATGTTCTCGATACAGTTACCACGGACAGGCGGTGGTCAGAATTTATTAACTCTTCGGTTTGTGGGGTGATTTGTTAACTCTTCTTAAGATATTGTTTTAAAAAAAAAAAAAAATTGCCCCAAGTTTTCTAGAATTAAGACTATTTGTTAAACTATGAATTTAAAATTATCAAAATTTGTCTACATTGAAAGGGAGGGCCTTTCAGTTAAAAAAAATCTACTGAATACCCTGTATTACTAGTATTGCTATCTACCTAGTATATGACTCGCTAAATTATATTAATAGAAATTATATTCAATAAAATAAAAATTAGGTAAGTGATATGACATATGTAGATCACAGAATTTGCTACTGAATTTTTATTAAATACACGTTTTAATTTTGAATTAATATAATATACTTCATTAGGTAACACATATCGTAGTCTAAAAACATCTCCCTCTGGATGTATGTTGGACAGAATGAGAGTCATACCAGTAGAGTACTAGAGGCTCCGTAAATAAAACCAGTATGTTTTGCGACTTGTAAAACAAAAGCTGGAAATCAGTTCTCATCACGATATCATTCCGAACTGACGGTAGATTTGACATATCATAAGAGTCTGTAATAGACCTACATGAATAAATATATTATGAATTTTGAACATTTTTTTATAACACTGGGACAAAAGAGCATGCGGCTCACCTGATGGTAAGTGATTACCGCCGCCCATGAGGACCGCAACACCAGGGGAATTACAAGTACGTTGTCGGCCTTTTAAAAAGGAATAAACTCTTTTCTTGAAGGTTTCAATATCGTATCGGTTCGGAAATACCATTGCTGGAAGGTTATTCCACAATGTGGTTGTGCGAGGCAAAAAGTTTCTAGAAAACCGCACTGTGGAAGATCGCCATTCATCCAGATGATCAGGATGGTATTTTAGTTTCTGGCGGGTGGTACGGTGGTGAAACTCAGCAGCTGGTATAATTCCGAACAATTCCTCAGAACACTCCCCGTGATATATGCGGTAGAAAATCCACAGAGATATATATCTCACTGCAAAGTCAATGGGTCGAGTCTGTCACATAGACGTTGATTACCAATGATTTTGGCTGCTCGGTTCTAAATGCGGTCAAATGGAAGTAGATGGTATTGTGGTGCTCCCGCCCAGAGATGAGAACAGTATGCTTGTGAATTGACTTGGATGATGTTGAAGTATATTTATGTGTCAGCTGCAGGAGTTTGTGTTGTGGTCTCATCCACGCCTCCCGTAGCGCCGGAGTCTCCTTCAACGTCGACGCTAGTAGTAGCGTCGGTTCCATTCTTCGCAACTATAAATATAAAATACTCATAATTTATTTTATATATATTTAAAGTCAATAATATCATCATTAAGAATCCCATTTCAAGTTTTCGAGTGGCTCCACTGAAAATCAGCGCTGCAGTGACACGCTGCGGCACCAGCTGAGTGGAGGCCCTTTCAGCTCATAACGAAATATATTAGTTTTTAAGTTTTCTATTTTTTTACTCTGTATTATGATGCGGAATTATTACTATTATTATTTTCACTGTTGTCGCATTTTCTTAGCTTTTCCTGGACATATAATAAAGACATTAAAAAATATATAAATCTTAAAGTTGCTGTTTTCGTCTGTCTGTTTATCTGCTTAATATACAAAATACGTAATAGCTTTTTACGCGATTTATATTGACATTTCTGGAATTTCTTCTGAAATAATTAGTACAAATCACGGAATCTTACCACGTTTTATTATTTACTGTAAGTGTAGTTTGGCAAGATGAATATCGTGCGAGTTTCATTAGTAGCAACAAATGAAGGTAGATGATAAAACATTTTATTTACCATCTACCCGCAGCTCTTTACCCGTGATCATGGCGGGTGACATACCACCGAAATATCTTATATATAAAATTCTCGTGTCACAGTTTTTGTTCCCATACTCCTCCGAAACGGCTTGTCAGATTCTCATGAAATTTTGTGAGCGTATTGAGGTCTGAGAATCGGCCAACATCTATTTTTCATCCCCCTAAATGTTAGGGGTAGTCCACCCCTATTTTTATTTTTATTTTAAGGCAAAACAACGTTTGCCGGGACAGCTAGTAACTCAATAAGAACAATGTAGTAAGATCCCGTGATTCTAACTAATTATCGTGTCTATATTAATATATGTATAGGAGGGAGAGATTATTAATAATGTAGACTAAAAAGATTGCTAGCAATGTACCATGTCAGGCCTCCAAGCGGTTCCCCCAGGAAACCATGTGATAAGTTCCTGGTGAATTTGTCACCATGCGCTAACTGACCTAACCACATGTTCACCTTATCATTGTCCACTGGTGCCCCGCCACCGTCAACCGAACTCATACTTCCATCGTCATACATTAAAAATATATACATAGAAACATAAGCACAATATGTGAATGTCCATACATGCTTTTTGAGACGACATCGCTGGTCTAGCGGTCTAGCACACCGCTTTACGTCCGATGGTCGCGGGTTCGATTCCTCGCACGGCACAAACATTTGTATTCATGAGTATGATTGTTTGTATCGGTCTGGGTGTTTTCTATGTATAATATGTATGTATTTACGAAAAAAAATATATCTATGTACTTGTATCAGTTATCTAGTACCCGTAACACAAGCTTTATATATAACTAGATGGCGCTGTGTGAATTGTCCTGAGATTATTATTATTATTATTATTTGTCTATGCTATAGTTAGATCATACCAGTTTCCTTTCCAGCTTCCGTAGTTACATTCCGACTGACAGTCACCCACGGACTAGTTCTAATGTTCTGTTCACCTAAAATAGGGTATCTAGGGATACTTATTAGCGAGCATATCGCAATAGTTGAAAAGAAGTGAACATTAGTTATTTGATAGTTGCATGTGCTTTAAGATTTTTTTTATAACAGCAGTACCTTCAATTAGTTCCAATCGTTCCAATGTTCTGCTCACCTAAAATCGGGTATCTAGGGATACTTATTAGCGAGCATATCGCAATACTTGGTTAAATACAATAAAAATAAACGAATATGTCACTTACATTGGAGTTCTGAGCGTCGTGGGCATGATCCTGCCTGCCTGCGCTCTAGCTTCCAGAATGTCTCTACGTTTATAGAAAAGGTGAGATAAGTAATCAAATAAGATTCTCTTTATTCACAAATTGTAAACCAACTTTGTCATTTCAACAAATTACATTACTACCGTTTTAGTAAGTAGTTTTGATCCTTCGAGCCGGATCAAAACATTACAGAATTCCTGTGGCCTAATATTGAAATAAATAAATCTCGAAATACACTGTATTAAAACAAAAATAAAAAAACATTTTCACCTAAGCAATCGGACGCTAATCTGCGCGCTGGGCAGCCGCGCCTCCACCGGATTGCCAACCACAATGACGTCGTCATCCTCGAGAACATATCGTCCCGTGCTCACTTGACTCTCTTGGTAGTCCTCATCAGTGTCTATGTCGTAATAGAACTCGTACCCCTGATTTTGAAATGGAATATATTTATTAACCATAGAGAATTGAATCCTTCGCTTCAACCGAAACACAGCGTACAAAAAGATGTGCTTGGTGACTGAAATAGGTGAGACTGAGTTGCCCATGACTAACAATCTACTTCGGGGGAAAGGGGATTGTTAGTAATGTGGACTGATGATCTTATTGTTAGCAATGTACCATGGCAGGTAAACCTCCACGCAGTTCCCCCTAGAAACCACCGTGATAAATTCTTGGTGAATTTGTCACGATGGGCTAACTGACCTGACCTCATGCTCATCTTATCATCCTCCACTGGTGCCCCGCTAGCGTATACCGTTAGCGCAGACGAGTTCACCACGGAATGGTGAATTATCATCCATAAAGAAGAACAGTCTACTTCGGCCCTCGATAAAACTTTTAGTCTCACATGTGGACATTAGTAGACAGTATCTAATAACCTATTACCAAGTGCGTTGTAACTGGTCGAGCAACTTACTTTAGATAAACTGGGAAAAGCTTTAAAACTTTGGTGCCAGTTCATAAACCTTCTGGCTGGTCGTAGCGCCCGGCGCAGCGCGCGGCGTACAGGAGCAGCTGTGTGGCTCTCTCTTATGAGGACTAATAAATGCAGGACCGCCTTCAGGTCCCACGCCGTAGAGTCGACGTAGCCAGGTGGCGCACGTTCAATTGTTGCTGAGGAACATATAACACATTACCTGTACGGTACGTCACCGTACAGCCGTCAGTGCTTGACACTTCCGCCGTCCATATAATGCCCACACATACCATTTCCCCTTCAATACACCAAATACTCACAAGCAAGCATCAGTCCACACTTAATCATCGTCAGTCCCGTATTTATAAATAGGCCATATAGGCCACGGCCTAGGGGCGGCAGCATCCTAAGGGCGGAGATTTCAGAGCGAGGACGGTCACTCGATTTCAGAGGATAAATTTCAAACAAATGAGAGAAAATGATTCTTTTAGAAAGGTAATATACATACATGGGGCGGCGGAAGTAAAGTGGAAAAAATAAATCTAACACTGATCGTCGTGTACTCAATAAATCAAGTAATCAAGGAAAGCAGCCAGGACTTATCATTTATACATCATAGCACCCAGATTGTGTGGGTCACAGCAGACTCTTACATTTTTACCTATGTTGTAATAAGACGTTTTTAACGTAGCGTAACGTGAGGCATTTGACCATAATCTTCCACCCACGCAGGGAAGTGGGCAGTGGCGTAGCTACCTAGGGGATAGGCGGGGCAGTGTCCCGCTCTCAAACTCAGGGGACCCTCGAAACCTTACCAGACAATCTCGATCAAACTTAACTTTTCATAATTTCTCCCATTTTCAAAATAAATGTGACGGCTTTTTTTTTTTTTTAATAATAATAATCTTTATTAAATTCAGAAGGATCGTTACAATATTATTTATACAATAGGTACACATTCCAGACAATATCAATCCTTTCAGTATTTATGTGTAGTCCTGGCTTCTGAACTAGCATTAGCCGTATGACAGAAGCCAGTTCCTTCCCAATACATGTACTTTTATTATAGAAGGATGAAAATTATTATAACATGATATATATAAACAATATTTTATCAATAGATACATATTTAAAAATCTAAATTATAAGAAAAACAAAGGTGTTGAAATAAACATAACATTTTGCACTATATTGTGTGTGTCTTATGTACAAGTATGATGTAAGTGTGTTTATATGTATGTATGATGGATATGTAGGTGAGCGTGCATGTACGCATTTGATGCGTGTGTTTAAGTAAAAAAAAAATATATATCTGCAAATTAATCTATGTGATGTTAACAAAGAATATTACTGTACATTTAATAAATTTTCCGTATCATCGTATTGTAGCTGATTTAACCATTGTTTAATTTTATTTTTAATTTGATATTGAGTCATACTTTTTGGGTTTACAACCTGACTAAACACATTGTATAGTTTTGGCGCAAGATACTGGTATTGTTGATGTGCAAATTTACTTTTGACCCTAGGTACAGGATAACGATTAAGTCTTTTATTGTTGTTGGATATAGATGATGCACTTCCATGGTTTCATGGCTTGCAACCCAACTTTAATCATGGCAACTCAGTAGAGAGTAATCCGAAAGTTATACCTTCGAAATTCCCCTAGATTCTTTCTGTGGGTTGGCAGTTGTCAATTTGACGGATAGCGATATGTGAGTTTTAATAAAACTGTAATGTAGGTACTTAGCATATACTTAGCAGTTTAGGTACTTAGCAGCCCTTTAGGTACTTAGCAGTGGGGCCCTATATTTTGATTTGCCCCAGGGTCCTTCGTTAATTACGCCACTGGAAGTGGGTGGGATATGTAGAACTTTTACCCACTAAAAACCGGAATTAAATGGAAATGTATGAATGGCAATCATGTTGTATATCTCTTTATGTTATTTGGACCACAGATAACATTATATTACATAATTTAGACAGAACTCTGCACAAAAGATTCCGACATTGCAGGGATCGGGACAAGATCTACCTTGAGCATACAACTACATACTGACAAATTGCAGGAAACGAGGTATAACTTCTCAGTCTTCTAGGATGTAATCGCATCCAGGTATCACGGCTGACATCTTAAAACGTGATATCTGTAAAACTGTTCATGTATAGAGACAACGATTACCACTTACCATCAGATCAGGACTCTTAGCTTGTTCATTATGTAAAAAAAGATATAAGCGTACCAAGTAAAGGGCACGTACATCGTCCTTAGGGGGCGTTCAAGTATTACGTAAGCACTATAGAGGGGAGGGGGGGGTCTTTGTTTGCTTATTCTGGATGACATAGGGGGTGGGGGGGGTTTGATGATGATTACGTCATTGTAGATATTAGTTTTTTACACGAATAGCAACCCTCACATTGTCCTTGCATGACCTACTTGTTGAGAATTTGGGAGTTTCAAATGACGACGTAGATATATAGAAATAGAGTCGACAGACAGAACAGAAGTGTGTTTATTATATATTTTTTTCGGACTCCTCTAATGCTGTTGGCCGCAGCTAGCCTTTACAGCTTCACCAGACGTTAGGGGGCGAGTGCAGATTGTACTCCAAACCCGCGGAAGGACTTATGGAGCGGCTGAAGGCCAACTGTCTGAGGGCACCACTAGTGGTTCGAACCTCGGCTCAGGCCGTCGTAATAACGATCCCCATTTGAATTCGACGGGGGATCGATCGGAGGGGACAGGGACAGGACATTATAAAAATATTACAGCCTTATATACGATTTTACACGTGTCACTTTTAAGCGTAGCTGCAGGTAACGACGGATTGAAGGTCGCGCAGCTGCGTTTCTCGTGTACTTACACGTGCCGTGCGATGAGGACTCTAGGAAGTTGCAAGAACGTGGACGGTGGCACGTGTAGAATGTATGTTGCTACATAATAATTGGAAAATGATTACGTAGGCATGGGGAGAGGGGTAAGTGCTGTGGGGTCGGTAGTAATTGTAATTTAATATATATTTTTTTTTAATAGCATATGCTGGTGATCACTCTATTCTCCCAAATCGTCTATCATGGTATGGACATGTAATGCGTATTCTATGTATGATTGTAGATGATTATAAGGGCAGAGGAAGGCCAAAAAAGAGATGGATGGACTGTGTGAAAGATGATATGGTAAGAAAGGAAGTAAATAACGCGATGACTGCGAACAGGGATGCATGGAAACGAAAAATATATTACACCGACCCCAAATAAATGGGATAAGGATGAAGCAGATGATGACTCTATTCTCCCAACTTTGAGTTGTATGAAATTGTATTGTTGTAAATATGTACAAAACTTAAAAAAAAAAGAAATACCAGCTGAGTTTCTTGTCAGTTCTTCTCATCTCGAAATCATTCCGAACTGACGTTAGATTTGACATATCATAAGAGTCTATAATAGACCAGATATTTTGAATTTGAATTTGAATAAAATAGACCCTCAACTAATGATAAAAATGTATGTTAAGAATAGTTACAGAAATCGATACTAGAAAATATTATATAGAACTAGCTGTGCCTGCAAACGTTGTTTTGCCTTAAAATAAAAAAAAAATTAGTGGTGGACTACCTCTAACATTTAAGGCAATGAAAAATAGATGTTGGCCGATTCTCAGACCTACTCAATACGCTCACAAAATTTCATGAGAATCGGTCAAGCCGTTTCGGAGGAGTATGGGAACGAAAACTGTGACACGAGAATTTTATATATAAGATTATAGCTGTATGCAGTGAGTGACTGATGACGTGAGAATATTTTATAGGTGAAATATGGAACGTGTCTGTCTTGTATGTAAGAGGTAATGATGTGAAATGATTATCATACAAATGTATACAGTACACCATAGTGCTTTGCTACTTTTGTTGACAAGGGGATGGGGCATAAACAATTGTAATAAATCTGCTCACGTAATATTTGAACGGCCCTAAACAATTACCAGTTATCTGTACCGGAGCTACTTTATTTAAATCGTTGTAAAATTGATGTTTGTGGTACATAACGAGGCGGTCCAGCCATCCGGCCGGGCGTACACTTAAACTTGCTACGGCCATTGTAATATAGTAAAAAACGACGCCACATTTCTGAAACATTGATAACAGTTTTTATTAGGAACTAGCTGTACCCGCGACTTTGTCCGCGTGGAATTATATTTTATAAAATAAAAGTAGTCTAAGTTACTCCTTATTACATCAGCTATCTGCCAATAAAAGTCCCATCAAAATCGGTCCAGCCATTTCAGAGATTAGCCGGAACAAACAGGCTGACTGACAAAAATTGTAAAACCTGTTATTTTGGTGTATGTACCGTATTTATATTCATATGCATGTAGTAAAAAACGGTCATTTCAATATTATAAACAGGCACTTCAATTTTATTTATATGTATAGATTAAAGTTAAAATTAAATTAATAGTAAATTTGGTATCAATTTAAAGTTAACAGTTTAACCTTTCAAATGGTAGCATTTTTAATATTCTTAACAAATTATTAAGTATTCAAGATCTTGCGGAATCAATTCCAAGTAAGTGATTCCACACTTTTGCTCGCGAGTGTACTAACATATATATAATACTAATCCAGTTATACATTAACTATTACTACATCATACTATAGTATAAAACAAAGTCGCTGTTGCTGTCTGTCTATGTATGCTTAAATCTTTAAAACTACGCAACGGATTTTGAAGCGATTTTTTTAATAGATAGAGTGATTCAAGAGGAAGGTTAATATGTATAATACATGTACACCCAGGCGAAGCTGGGGCGAGTAGCTAGTATTATATTAATCTATAGTATTTGTAATATTGCACCTAGAGATTGCTCAAATAATAATAATAAATTCAGCATTACAGTAATTGTATTTACTATCTATCTTTTTAAATACAAAACTTATGTAGGTAAACTTTTGAAGATATTAGTATACTTAAATATGGGTACTCACAATGAAAAACATTGTCTCAATATTTGTAAAGTAATAAAATTACATTGTATTTGAAAGCTAATTACATTTTGATTAAAACAATTTATTAACACATAATCAAACATACTCACGGTAATTATTATTTTATTACATGACGATAAAGAAAATTAAAAAAAAATGTATGTAGGTACAAGTTTTGGTTTTATACATGACGAATATTAATATTTCTTAGTTGCGTGCGTTACCGTTTGGTTGAGTGCTAAATTAGACCAGTTTAGCACAGTACTGGTTTCCCTCGAGACGGCTGATCCCATAAATAAATGAAATTCATACTAATTTTATAAATTCAAAAATGTGTCTATCTGTCTGTAAATTTGTTACCCTTTCGTAATACAATGTCATGAAAATAGATTATCGTAAGAACACGGACATTGGCTATATTTATCTCAAAAAAGGAAACAAAATCTGTAACAGACTAAAGTTGACTATATTGCTTTGTGTTTACCAATAACACAACTTTAAATCAGTAATTAATGATTTACAATTAGAACAATCGTTGGATTGTACCTTTAAGAATTTGATACTATACTGAGCAAATAACCACTATGTTACTTTTGTCGAATTGCTGAAGCAATATGACATTAATTAGTTTGACGTTGACATTTGTGTCGATATATACCTACTCTATGATTTTGTTAACTTGACAGATGACAGTTCGATTTGAATCTGTGTTTTAAAGAAACGAAAGAAAAAGAAATGTTTCGACGTGTCTCTTTGAAACAAAAATTTTATTCCAAATTACAACTTTGATAATATTATTTGTATCTAGAGTACTATTAGAAAATACACAGAGTATAATAACAATCAATTTCTCTCAATTTTATGTATAAAACCGTATAAATGACGTGTAAAAAATAAGTTTTGCTTTAGTTAAAGTTGTAGAATAGTAAACAAAGGCATTTAAACGAAAACAATGACTTTATACGTGTCCGTAGTTAGTAGGCGTGGATGAAGCGAGTTGTAAAACATATTTGGAAGACTTTCTCTGTAAAAAAAATTACTAAAATGAGTGGAGTGAGCCGGGACGCGCCGGTGGGGGTCCAGATGTTGCAGCGCGCCACCGGGTGGCTGTGTCCTCGATGGCAGATCAACAGGCTTGTACTGTGAGTAATAATCATTATTTTATGTTAGAACAAGCAAGGTTAGTGAAGTTATCGGCGGTTGATGTCACGCTCGGCGGGCGTTTTGTCTATTATAAAAAATGAATGAACTTTTATATTATGACCATTGGAAACTCTATTGTGTAGTAATTAACAGTTTTGTTTATTTTAAATGCTGTCTTTTATCTAATTGAATGATTTATTTGTTAAAATTTTATTATGTAGTCATTGTTAACACCCCATTCCTGTGGTAATTCTGGAATAAAAAATATATGATAATATATGATATAGAATAATCTATATTTTTTTCCTTTTCTCTTCAGCTTTATGGCTATAATCAGATATATTGATATTTTTTTTTGGGATATGTCGTCCATTGACGTGAATCCCTTTTATTTTACGTAAGTAGGTACTTACATTTTGACCAGACGTTCCCTCTTCAAGCGGAATACATCATCCCTAGTATCTAGAAGCTTTAGAGCTAATTTGTTTGCATGGTATTCAAGTAAATACTGATAAATAATATAAATATCTATATAATTACAATGTTGTATAAAAATGATTGAATAAGTTAATTAATTATTTATTTAGTTATCCAGGCAGATCATTGAGTTTTGTGTATAGTTAATTAAACTTCTCTAATTTATTAGTACAGTAGAATCCCGATTATCCGAACATCCTATTATCCAGACTCATTCTCTAGAATTATCAATTCAGATATTTGAGGATTTGTACAGAGAGAAGATGAAAAAAAGACTGAAACTGGGATTGTATCTCAAGTAGAAGCTTTTAAAGCTCTAGATGTTGCTTTGTAATGGTTTGGAAGACAGGATGAATCGGATCCCATACAGTTGTTACAACTGAAGCACATCAGGGACTTGGTCCCAATGAAAAGATGTGATGTTTACATCAAAGATCAATAACAAGTTATTTCCAACCAAAATTTTAAATTACATATAAAAGATACAACTTGGTTGAGATTGGAAGCAAAACTATTTAATATTCCTCATAATTACATAAGTACCCTCACATAAATCAATTTACAAATAATAATCAAACTACCCATAGTTTACATACATAACATATCTCACCCTTATAATCTTTAAGTCTCAATTTACATACTAAATAGATTCATCATTTGAATTACATACTTTTATACATTGTTTTCATACACTCACAGTTGCATGACATACTATGCCCACTACACAAATTTACTTAAGGCACACCAATTATCTCTGGCCACAAATCAGGGTCTGGTATTAATACTTCCGGTGACTCATCTGGTTCAGTATCATCTGGTTGATCCCAGGATGGTCTGCGTTGAAAGCCATTGCAATCTTTACTACCCCGAGCTAAGATCTGATCTGCGTGGCGCCTATGTATTTCTCCATCCTCTGTTCTCACCCTATATGTACTTGGACCCTCTATATCCACAATGGTAGCTCTGAGCCATTTTTGTCCTGACTCATATACACGGATTAATACTGCCTGATTCTTTTTAAAGATTCTATTTGGGACCCGGTTTGCTGCTGCCTCGAGTTGATTCTGGGCATCATCTGGTACACAACTCGGGTGTAAATTAGAAATAGCAGTTCTGTATCGACGACCATTTAGAATTTCTGCTGGTGTCTTATTTGTGCTATTTGGTACAGTGCGTAAATGATATAATGTTTTTGAAAGCTTCTCTGACCAAGTTATATTAGAATTGGCATATGTCAACTTCTTAAGTTTATTTTTAAAAGTCTGTATAGCCCGTTCAATATGTCCATTCGTGGCTGGATGATATGGAGGTGAGTATTTGTGCTTAATGCCATTCCTCTGAAGAAAAGAATTAAATTCATCTGAGGTAAAAGCCCTGCCATTATCAGATACCAAAATCTCTGGCAATCCTTGTGCTGCGAAAATCTTCCTTAGCACACTTATAACTGTTTCACTGCTCATTGATGGAACAATCTCTGCTTCAAACCACTTGCTGTAACTATCCACCAATACCAGAAATGTTTTTCCTTGGAAGGGTCCTGCAAAATCTATATGCACTCGACCCCATGGTTTTTCAGAAGGTATCCATGTCTGTGGGTCTTTCGGTGGGTTATTTCTGACTTGCTGACAATGTACACACTCTGACACAACTCTCTCGATGTGTCGATCCATATCATGCCACCAAACATATCCTCTAGCATAGGATTTGGTCTGAACCACCCCAGCATGTGGGGCATGTAATAAATCCAAAACTTTACTCTGTAGTGCTTTGGGTATAATGACTCTGTTGCTCCATAGTAAACATCCCTTACTAAGTGAAAGAGCCTCTCTACGAGACCAAAATGGCTCCAAATCTGGATCTGGACATGAACGGGGCCAGCCATGAAGTATATGAAACATAGCCTTCTGTAGAATTGTATCTTTCTTGGTTTCTCCAGCAATTCGTGTCACGTCAAGGTCCCACCCCTCTGGCTGCTCATCCAGCAGTAGCACTTCTCTCAGGTCTTCTTCTTTTAGTGCGGATGTATTTGGCATTGTCCATCTACTAAGGGAGTCTGCATTCCCAATTAATTTTCCTGGTCTATATTTAATATTGTAATTATAACAACCCAGTTTCAGTGACCACCTTAACATTCTTGGTGATATTTGGTCAGGAATGGGTTTTACAGGATTGAAAAGACCAACAAGCGGCTTATGGTCTGTAATAATATCAAATTTACGACCAGCCAGATACTCATGAAATTTTGTGATACCAAATATAATAGCAAGAGCCTCCTTATCAATTTGTCCATAGCGCCGCTCATGTGGCTGAAGAGTTCGAGAAGCCATCATAATTGGTCGTTCTGACCCATCATCCATTACATGAACCATCACAGCTCCTAGACCATATTCAGAAGAGTCACAAATTAACAGCAATGTTCTGTTTAATTCATATCCAACTAATGTCAAATCCGATGATAGAAGACTTTTGCTTTGTCAAAGGCCACTTGTTCTACAACACTCCACATCCAGGGTTGTTTTGAGTCCAATAGTCTGTACAATGGTTCCAGAATAGTTGCCTTGTCAGGCAAGAATTTTTCATAAAAATTGTACAGGCCCAAAAATGCCCTTAATGATACCTTATTCTGGGGTGCAGGTTTCTCTTTTATCTCCTTAACTTTTAATGGAGATGGATGTAGTCCTTCGCCATCAATCATGTGTCCTAAAAAGGTTATGCTGTCTGATGCAAAGACACATTTTTTAAAATTAAGGCGAAATCCCATAGAATCCAGTTTACCCAATACCATACATAATCTTCCATTATGTTCCTCCATATTTTTTCCACAGACAGCAATGTCATCGAGTAAACATGCTACTCCTTCCATGTTAGCAAATGCTGTTGACATTAAACGCTGGAAAATAGCTGGTGCTGCACTCACACCAAATGCCAAACGGTTCATCCTCATTAATCCCATGTGGGTATTTAGTGTTAATAGATTAGCTGTCTCTTTATCCACTTTCACCTGTGTATATGCTTGCTTCAGGTCAAGTTTACTAAATACCCGTCCTCCACTTAACTTTGCAAAAGCTTCGGCTGATGTGGGCAGTGGGTATGTGTCTGTATTTATAGAAACATTAACTGTGGCACGATAATCCCCACATATGCGTAAGCTGCCATCCTCTTTTTTAACAACTCTAATAGGTGTGGCCCATTTTGAATACTTCACTGGTGTCAAAACGCCATCATCAATCATTTGTATTAAAGTAGTTTCCACCTGTTGCTTGAGTGGAAATGGCACTGGTCGAGCTTTGAAATATTTTGGTGGCATCTCAGGCCGTACATGCAAAGAAACCTCTGGACCAGTATATTCACCTAAATCATTTTTGAATAAATTTGGAAATTTATTTGTGAGGGATGTTAATTCATCATAGGTCCAGCACAATCCAGAAATATGTATCGCCAGAGGCTTGAACCAATTCCTTCCTAATAAACTTGGCCCTTTGCCTGTTATCACCAACAGCTCACATTGTGCCTCTTTGCCACCAAGACTAGCTCGAACGTTAGCCAGTCCTAACACCTTCAGTGGTTCACGCGTCCATGTCACCAATTTTATGTTGGTAGGAATTAGTGGGGGTGGTGTAACCCATAATTTGTGGTAAGTTTCTTCTGATATTATTGTTCTTGAAGCTCCAGAATCTATTTCCATAGAAAGATTCACTCCATCTATCCTCACCTCTGCTTTAATTACTGGGAGGTTATTCTCCCCACAATTATACACACCCAACATCTCTTCGGGCAAGGATTTTAAGCTTCCCTCACCACATTCTGTAGTCTGGTGTACTTTTGCCAGTCTCTTTGCACACGCAGAAGCAATGTGTCCATAACGCTTACAGAAGTAACACCTTGCTTTAGCAAAAGGACATCGTTCGCCAGTTTTGTGTAATTTTCCACAATGTCGACAGTCATTCGATTTTATCCTACCAATTTCCATAGGTTCCGAAACATGGAATGGAGTTTGCTTCTGCACCTTGGTATCGGGGTATAAATCCAACCATGTGGCTTGATAGTTGAGACACAACTGAAGAGCACTTTCATAAGTAAGATCCTTTGTTCTCAATAATTCCCTTTTCAAGCGCACATCATTCACCCCTAATACGAGCCTGTCCCTCAACTGACGTTGTAAGTCCGAAAAGTTGCACTTCACAGCTAATAAACTTACAGCTGCTACAAAGTCCTGAATACTTTCACTTTGTAATTGATGACGTTTATGAAATTTTTCCGTTTGTAAAATTTCATTAATTTCCGGTTCATAAAATTTGTCCAAAACTTGCAAAATTTGCGAAAATTCCACTTCAGTTGGTCGATGTGGCACTAATAAGGATACAATTAAACCATAAGTCTCTTTTCCACATTGAGATAAAAACAATGAACGAGCTTTATCAATGTTCTGTTCACCATAGCCAGCGGCATCGAGAGCACACAGTAATTGTTCTTTATAGTCACTCCATTTGTCTGTTTTTGGATTAAAATGTCCCGGAAGCACTATATTATTAATATTTGACATCATTTTCGCAAAATTACATTTATTTTCCTCAGTCGCCATTAAAAGATACAACTTGGTTGAGATTGGAAGCAAAACTATTTAATATTCCTCATAATTACATAAGTACCCTCACATAAATCAATTTACAAATAATAATCAAACTACCCATAGTTTACATACATAACAACATACATACATATTATGTAATTCATTATCTATCATTATAGCATATTTTTTATATATCACAAGCTTTTGCCCGCGGCTTCGCTCGCGTAGTAGTAATTATTATTATTAATTAGGTGTAGTTTTTGTGGCTTTCTTTTGTTTAGTGTATGTACAAAATCTAAGATTTATACAAACTTTCATCCCCGATTTCATCCCCTTAGGGGTGAAATTTATCAAAATCCTTTCTGCCTCTCTCTGCTTCTGGGGATGCCTACATCGTAATAGCTTTATGCATGCAAAGTCTCAGCCCAATCAGTTTAAAATTGACAAAGTTTCATACAAACTTTCGTCCCTTATTTTATCCCCTTGGGGGTAGAATTAATCAAAATCCTTTCTTAGCGGATGCCTACGTCATAACATCTACCTGCATGCCAAATTTCAGCCCGATCCATCCAGTGGTTTGGGCTGTGCATTGATAGATCACTATGTCAGTCAATCACCTTTCAGTTATATATATTTAGATATTACCTAAGTAAAACCCATTATGTAATGAAATTTAAATATTGTTTAATGCACTTTGAATTTGGTTATCCAGATTTTCAGTTGTATGGAATACCTGTACCCCTGGTTTTAATTGATCTGGATAATCAAGATTCTACTATAATTGAGTAGCAAACTGTACCTACCTGCACCCCAGGGCCTTTGGATGTTTAGCAAAAAGATTCAAGGACCAAAAACTTCTATTTTTATGCATCTATATAATATTTACAAATTTTACCACCTCTTTTGGAGATTGTTCACTTTTCTGCTAATGATCTTTTTTGCTGAAATTTGTTGAATATTATATTTTATCTTTGATGATTTTACTTATTTAGTCACGTTGCGCTAACTGTTCTGATCTCATGCTCATCTTATCATCCTCCACTGGTTCCCCGCCAGCATAAACCGTTAGCGCAGGCGGGTGCACCATTCCATTATCATCCTCTAAGAAAATGTTTTTCTCTTTCATTCATCCCTGTTCGTAGTCATCTCGTTATTTACTTTGCATAGCACAGTCAAGTGCTGACCATTAATCTAATAAAAAAATCCTTGTATCAAATTTATCATTACAATAGAATGATTCACAAAATGCATTTAAGTATGTATTTAATACAAACATCACCCCGATTGCTCGTTTCTTGTTGCTTATACAATCAACATACCCAATCTAAATTACAATAGATTCAATTCCGTCAGTCCAAATGCGGGTTTGGGAGAATAGAGAATAGAATAGAAAATCATTTATTCAAATAAACTTAAGCACTTTTGAATAGTAAAAATTTTTTTTTTAAATCTACCGCTTATTCGGTAAGCTGTCTCATCACAAGAAGAATAAGCAAGAAACCCTTGTGTTGCTCTTTTAAATAATCCTTGTAAGTTCATATTTTACAAGTCGAAACGTGTGAATTAGGGTTCATGATTTCTCGAGCTTTTCAATTTCTCGGGTCTCGAGAATTCTCGAGGTCAATTTCTCGGGTCTTCTCGGGTTGTCGAGAAATTTACATTTACGTACGTTTTCTCATATTATTTGGTTCCAATAACGTCAAAAAATTCAGTGGTTTTCCTCTCAAATAAAAGTATCAAATTAAACTTTTATTTAAAAACTTTAATATTATGAGTAAATTATTATTTTTTAAATAGAGAAATAATATTAGGTCCTTACATATGAAATTGGCGTTTTGTCGTACTGGCCACTTTGATCTCAAATATCTCCTCTTTTTTAGGAATTCTATTTCCAAATTTATACGGCTATTCACTTTGGGTCACTCATCTACTCGTTGTACATCAACGACATCCCTAAATTCTCCGACTTAAAAGTCGAAATATCGCTGTTTGAAGATGACATGCCGATAACTGGCTCTCTTTACATTCGCCAAGTCCCGTGCGACAATAGCCAGACGGCTTCAGAAAGCCGTAACGATACTGGGCGAATGGTTCCGTCGGTGGCGCATAGAAGTCAATCCCAAATAAAGTGCAGCAGTGTACTTTAGCAGGGAATTCGATTCTATGAATCACCCGATCGAACTATTCGGCCAAAACATCCCGTGCGTTTCGAAAACGAAATACCTCGGCGTTAGCCTAGATAGGAAACTAACGTTTCGTCCTCACATCAAGCGTGTCCGCGACTGAGCCGCCTTTATACTAGGGCGACTCTATCCTTTTATTAACAAGCACAGTAAAATGTCGCTTCGTAACAAGCTGACACTATACAAGGCTTGCATCCGTCTACTGTTTAATCAACCGACTACAAATCATACAGAATAGGTTTCTGCGTCGAGCCACCGGTGCGCCGTGGCTCGTTCGCAGTGTAGACCTCCACCGCGATCTTAATCTGCCCTCCATCAAGCAGTTTATGAAGGTAGCGTCTCGACGCTACTTCGACTCTACCCAATCCCACACTAACCCGCTTATAGTCAGTGCGGTCGACTACGCACCAAGGAGTAATATCAGACATACGCGACAACGTCGCCCGAGGCACGTTCTCATTGACTCCGACGACCCCATAACGGCAGGTAACCTCCCCACGGGCCCACCCGTTCTACTCCGACCACACTTTTACACACACACACGATACCGTCCTCGCCGGCGAAGACGACGACCTCAAACACATTCAACCGGGCGCCTGAAATTTTAACGGAAAATTACGACGGCCTGAGCCGAGGTTCGAACCCCTAGTGGTGCCCTCAGACTAAAATCGTATCCGTCAGGCAGGAGTTGGCCTTCAGCCGCTCCATAAGTCTTCCGCGGGTTTGGAGTACCATCTGCACTCGCCCCCTAACATCCGGTGAAGCTGTAAAGGCCAGCTACGGCCAACAGCATCAGAGTAGTCCGAAAAAAAAAAATGGGTCACTCACAGCATATAAAATGAAAAAACTTAAAGTATCGCGTTATTTATGAATACAAGTTCCGCTGTGGCACCAGTGCTACACGGTGCTAAGTGGTCTCTCAAAAGAAAACACGTGCATTTTTAGTTCTGGAAATTTTGACCTGCAAAGCAATCTCGGTGGGCGGCCGGAATCCAAGGTTGATAATGAAGAATTGAAGGCTATTGTGGAAGCGGATCCATCGCAAACCCGTCCGAGTTAGCTGCAGGCTGCGGTGTTAGTGACAAAACTGTTTTAATCCTTTAGCAAATTGGGAAGGTGAAAAAGCTTGAAAAGTGGGTCCCTCATGAATTCAATGGAGTAAATCGACAAACGCGCGTAGCCTGCTGCGTTACATTAATCAACCGGCATAATAATGAAGGGATTTTAAATCAAATCATTTCCTGTAATGGAAAGTGGATCTTGTACGATAATCGGAAACGCTCATTGCAATGGCTAAACCCTGGCGAACCAACCAAATCCTGCCCCAAAAGAAAATTGGCTCAAAAAATGTTACTTGTGAACGTTTGGTGGACTATTTCCGGTGTTGTTCACTTCGGCGATGTGTATTGTCAGCAATTGAGAAACCATGATGGAAAAGCTAGCTGCTAAACAACCGAGGCTGGTCAAACGCCAAGAACGCTTGACCACATACTGCACAACAGACAGTTACCAAATTAGAAGAGCTTCAATTGGAATGTCTAAGACAACCACCATACTTCCCGGACCTTGCTCCAACAGATTACCATTTTTTTTTTTCAAAATTTGGATAACTTCTTGCAAGGGGAAAAAATTAAACTCCGATGGGGCAGTCCAAAGTGCAAAAACAAAAGGCAAAAGTGCATAAATAGAAATGGTACATAGGTACCTAGATTAAATAAATATATTATATTTTGAAAAAAAAAATACTTCAGGTTATTCCCTTACAAAACGCCAATTTAAATTTTTCAGGACCTAATTGTTCTTATAATTAGACTTATTTATAATGACATATATTATATACTTATAATGACAGCACCATTTTTGGCTGCTTATTTAGAAAATAAAAACAACTTAAACAAAAATAGTTTCTACAAAATAAAAAAAATAACATGAAAGAAAACAAAAACGTTAATATCTTTAATTATTGCGCCGCCTCGCAACAAAACAAAGGGCAATTTAATATCTATATAGGTACATGATTTCTCGAGTTCTCGACTTTTCTCGAGCTTAATTTCCCGGGAACAAAACCCATGAATTTCCCGGGAATTCTCGAACCGAGAATTCCCGGGAATGAACCCTAGTGTGAATACAAACTACCAACCATCACTAATTTATTAGGGTCAAATATAAATATACAATAAGATTAAATCAGTCGTAGTGATAAGAGCAGACCAGTCCCTACAAGCAGCACTCGTTCACGAGTATGACGGATGAGCCAGCCATCACTGCGCTCGACCATATTTTAAGGAACTCAATTATCCGGCCCATCTACGCCGCTGATTTCTGATAGAATTAGCTATACCAGTGGCTAAATATAGTTATTTGTAACTAGCTGTTCCCGCGCTACCGATACGCGCTACGATATCAGCTACCTGCCAAAAAAATCCCGTCAAAATCGGTCCAGCCATTTCAGAGATTAGCCGGAACAAACAGACAGACAAACAAAAATTGTAAAAAATGTTATTTTGGTGTATTAAACGTATTTATATTCATATGCATGTAGTAAAAAATGGTTATACCAATATTACAAACAGACACTACAATTTTATTTATATGTATAGATGGATCCAGACCATATTCAAAACTGCACAATCTTCAATCGTGTAAGTGACCTTCGAGGCGGCATGTCACGGCCACGACCGACATGTCTGAATTTAATTATCCATTGTATAGATGACCACGGTGGTCTAGCGGTCTAGCACACCGCTTTACGACCGATGGTCGCGGGTTCGATTCCTCGCACGGCACAAACAT